TTTACTCTCAATATTAGCTCCTCATCTCTTATATCTTCATATGAGGCCTATCAAACAGGTTCATTCATTTCCGTTATGTATTGTTAACTTAATTTAATCGTTGATGTTCTCATGATCCTCTTACCGTTATGATTGTTCTTATACTGTTATTGCAAATAAGAGCGTATTGAAAATTATCATCTGATTCTCATGCGTTTAACGCTTCATTATCCAAAAGTATGAAGCTCGGTTTTATTTGAACAAATATTGTTCAGAATGTTCCGTTCTGCTCTCCGTGCCGTTAGCCAGACCGCTCAAGCAGTTACTGCTGTTCGTCAAATTTCCAGAACCTCTGTACTGGCTCAACTCCGCCCTCTTGGCCCTCGCAGCACTCTCCCTGATTTCAAGGGAACTGCTGTCGTTGATGGAGATTTCAAGGTTTTAAAAAGTGAACTAGGAAAATATATACTTTTTAAAGGCTATTTCTGCTGCCGATTATAAAGGAAAGTGGCTCGTTTTCTTCTTCTACCCACTTGATTTCACTTTTGTCTGCCCAACTGAGATTATTGCCTTCAGTGATAGAGCTTCAGAGTTCCAGAAACTAGGATGCGAGGTACTATTACATTTGAGTATGCTTTCTTAATGAGTTCTTCCTCCAGGTTGTTGCCTGTTCTTGCGATTCCCACTTCTCTCATTTGGCTTGGACTCAAACTGCTCGTAAAGATGGCGGTCTTGGAGATATGAATATCCCTGTGCTCGCTGATTTCAACAAGAACATCGCTGAGAGCTTCGGAGTCTTGGACAAGGTTGAGTTACACACGTTGTAGCAGTGAACCTAGAGTTTTCAGGACACTGGTTTAGCATACCGTGGATTGTTCTTGATTGATCCATCTGGAACAGTTAGACATGTCACCTGTAACGACTTACCTGTTGGTCGCTCTGTTGACGAAACCCTCCGCGTCTTGAAAGCATTCCAGTTTGTCGAACAGCATGGAGAAGTATGTCCTGCTGATTGGAAGGATGATGCTCCAACCATCAAGCCTGGAGTTGATTCAAGCAAAGAATACTTCAACAAAGTGAACAAGTAAAATGTCAGATATGTAGATTAGAGATGTTTATTAAATAAAGATTTCGTTTCATTATTCTCTTCACAAAACAGTTTTTTAACAACTTGAGTACTTTGAAAATTGGTAACCACCCCGCGTTATGAGCACAATAATTCTTTTCAGATATACTTGAGCGTTCGCTCGCTTTTCGATTGAAAGCAACTAACGATTAAGACTGAGAAATAAGACTTAGTTGCATTCAACCGAATTGAGAGTTAGTCGAATAAGTTAATAGACTAATACCAATTAAATATGAACAACTCCTTCTTGTTTTTGTAATAGAGCGCGTTTTTTTGTTTGATTGCATTAATGATGTGAAAGGAATATTGTCTTGCATTAATCTTGTTATAACGTCTGATCTGAAAGTTTCAGATGTCAAGTTTCGCTCTGTACGGTACGGAGTTCGAAGCTCTAGACGCAGACACAAGTATGATAACATATCAGAGGCATTAACAATCCTTATTTTTTAAGTTGGGGTTCCTCGTAAACCTGCAGCTATCCAGGATCAAATAGCCACTGACGAAAATGGTAGGCGTCGTTTTCATGGAGCTTTCACTGGAGGATTCTCTGCCGGATACTTCAATACTGTTGGAACTAAAGAAGGTAAGCTCTGAAAGTGAACGAAAGAACTGATGTGCTTCAGGATGGACACCACAAGAATTCCGTTCAACAAAAGAAGAGCGAGCGCTTACACATCAGATGCGTCCCGAAGATTTGATGGATGAAGAGGTAACTCATTGTTGTCGCTCTCATAAAACAAAATCAATTAAGGATTTGGGAGAGTTCGGTATATCAGCCCGGAGAATTCAGAAATCGCAAGCTTTCGGTGGAGGAGGTCAAAGCACTTCAAGTCAAAAAAGGAGATTTGCTTGGGAGCATGACTCCTCCAGTGTTTCTTCTCTGACCGAGCGTATCGAGACGATGGTTCGACCTACACAGTAAGTGAAATTCAAATTTATGTTTCAAGTATTCTGTGTAGTGAATCAGTGGGAGTCCAAATGTTAAAAGCCATGGGATGGAGAGAAGGTCGTGGAGTCGGATTAGCAACCAATAGGCAGATACGAGAACGAGGTATCATATAAACGTATGATTATTTCATTCATTTATGCTAGGCGGTTCGAGTAAAGAAGCTGATTTCGATAGAAAACAGGCAGCGAAGATTGCTCCAGGCTACCAATTAGCTTTGGAAGACGAAATTCTTCAGCATTTAACGCCTGTAGAGGGAGTCTCCGGATTAGGTTATAAAGGACTCCGAGAAACAGCAGTTCTAGATGAAGGGTAGGGAGTTTTTATTAGTTCGTTCTTGAAAATTTTTATTAAGATATGGCCAGTTGGAAGCTGCTCTAAAAACTAAAAGTAGATCAAAAGGAATCAGAGGACAGGTATGTTCTTCATTTTCAACTACAGTGAGAACTGATTTCAGGCTTTCGGTGTGGGTGTTTTTGAAAATGATGACGAGAGCGTATATTCCAATTACGATTTGACTCAATACGACTTCTCCATTGGAGGCCCAGCTCAAAAAATTGAAGCGCCTGAAGTAGACTGTACTTTCGAGGAAATGCCAAAAGTACTAAATGGTTTCAACCAGATTAACGTTATCCAAATTGACTCATTTAGAGATTGAATTCAAGAAAGTTTTATCCTCCGCCCAAGCTCCCTCCTAACTTTAGAGCTCATCATAAAATAGAGGCGATCGATGTGAAGAAACTGCCCGAAATGGTTCAGAGCGCGATGAAAAACTTGAGTGTTGTTCAAAGAGCTAGGTAGGCCTGTGTTCGAGCTTCTCATTCGAAGACGCTTTCAGGCTTTTGGGAGAAGATAGGATATCTGTGATGGAGTTGGTTGGAAGTAAAGATAGAAAAACTCTAGAAAAAGCCAGAGAGAGACAACGTAGTCGTTGGGATATGACGGACGAGGAGCTGATAGAGAGTGAACAAAAAATTAACGTGGTTAGTTTGTTCGAAGGTGCTAGGTATTCTCATCGTCTTATTGCTTAAGGATCGAATAGTTTTCCCCGATGAACCTATGAAACAACGTCGCTTTAAAGAATTTCTCAACTACTTGCGGAGAGGTTAGTGTCTGACTTAATTCTCATTTGATATTTGCCCTTATAGGTCTCCCTTACATGCAACCGACTGATATGTCCGTGTGGGAATGGGAAGCTGAAAAAAAAGATTTCGAAGAGAAGCTGACCCCTGATGAAAGAGGCATGCTGCCTGAAGTTCGCTCTCGCTCGCAGCCTTTAGTCAAAACTGCTTTATCTTTACCTATTCTGGAGATTATGCAGAATAAATTCACAAAAGAAACAGGAACGAGTGGAAATGTAGGTCTATTTAGCTCGAATTATAAAGAACTTCGTTTCAGATAGGAAGAAAAGACGAAGACAAACTAGCTGCTGTTAAAGTCGGAATTTTCGGTGACAAAACTCGAACCACTTTTGAATGGTTTGAATCGGATTCTTAAGAATTGAGGCAAAAATAATTTTTAGGTACCCAGATAGTCTTCTTTCTAAAAGATTCAATGTTCCTCATCCTTACCCTGGATCTAAACTTGTAGGTGTTCCTCACCTTCAAAAGCCAGTGAAAAGAGAGAATGTGATGAATCTTGGATTGCCAACTACTGCCACCCAAGTGTTCCAAAGGTTTGTGTCAGAACTGAAGCAATCATTTGTTTAATTTTCCAGTCAGCCAGACGTCATTCCAATCGAAGATATAAAGAAAGAGGAAGGTTTCGATGAGGAAAATGTCGAGGAAAGCGTTGAAAAACCGCCACAATCCATTTTCGACGCCATTTTTGCCGAGTTTGCCGTGAGTAGCAGTGATAGTGAAAGTGAAGATGATGATGAAGACGTTCGGAAGAAGAAGGAAGTCAAGGAAGAGCCCGAAGACGATTACGCAGAAGAGAAGTATTTTTTTTCAACTTTCCGCTTTCGACTATTGTTCATTCAGACCATCTACTTATGAGCCGAGAAGCCAGGAGAAGGTTATGACGGTTATGGATCTCGATCAAGAGTACGGTCCTGCCCCACCAACTAGCATGCAGGCGAATGATAGTAATGCTTTTTTTTATTTGTTCTGTATCCTCAATTTTTCAAAAATATAGATCTGACCGCAAGCACCGTTTTGAGATATCTTGAAGAAGAAATCGCGAGAAAGAAGGCAGAGAAAAAGAAGAAGAAGAAATCGAAGAGCCATAAGGAACATAAGGATCACAAATCTAAAGTATGACGAATTTTGTTACAAGGCTAATGGAGCGCTTTCAGAAGTCGAAAAAGGAAAAGAAATCGAAAAAGAGCAAGAAAGAACACAAAAAGAAACACAAGAAAGAGAAGTCTCACAAAAAACGTAGCAGATCCAACTCATCGGGCTCTTCATCTTCTTGGTCAAGTGGCGGCTCCGGATCGGATTCGGATTAGCCTCTCAAATTTCTAATAAATTATGAAAATGTGTGACGTATTCAGCAAACTGGTTCAACAACAAATCATTCGAAAAAAAATATTTATAAATGATTCGAAATCATCGCTTTCACCTTGTCTCAATTGAAAAATAAAAAGAACTTATATACAGTTATTAAGTAAATGCTTCAGAATGCAAGAGAATCAACTCAATTTGACGACACTATTCGCTGAATATTAATAAAGCTATCAAAATAGTAACAATTGATGTTATCACGGCTGCAAGTACTACAGCTGTACAAAGACTTTTCCGATGAGTTCTTCTAGGTGGAAGAGGTAACACGGTGTCAGAGTCAACAGGTGGACTGAAAAATCATTTTGTCTACAACACATGTTAACATTCAAACCTTATCACAATTCTTGGAGCGAAGTGAGGATCATTCATAGATGCATGTTTACCGCCCCAAGAGTTGAAACTGCTGGTTGGAGAAGGCAACAGAGAGTTTTGGTTCGGCAAATTCAAAGAATTCGTACGATTAAAATCATCGATTCTAAAAACTACTTTCATGCAATACACAAGAGCTTCACTAACCGCATTTTAATATTTGGATTGACGGTATCCTTTGGGATTCCATAGCCATCATCTGGAGCAGACGATCTGTTGCCGTGCCTCAACGGCACAATAGTGTTGATTGTTATGTTTTCATGACTACATCCTGCTCGGGGCTAGAATCAGATAACTTCTATTGCGAATCGTAATCAAAATAAAACTTACATTATTATACATTTTTTAAAAAGTTGTGACAGTCCGATGAAAGTCTTTCCGGCTTCTGAAATGATCATCGAATGTAATGGTTTATAACAAGATTGGCATTGGCATGTTGAATTGAAGAATAGAAATGGAGTTCTCAAAAGTCTAATGGTTGTCTTTCATCGGCTTACGTCAAATCTCTTCGTGAGAATAAAACTATTTGATCCGAATAGATGATCATAGGTGGAGATGAAGGCTTCAGCAAAAATTTAATATTCACATGCCCTCCTCTACCTGTTTGATCAGATCGAACTGTGAGAATGGCTGTCATCATTATAATTTGAAGAAGAAAAATGTTTAAACGATCTCAAGAATTTTGTAAAATAAAGAATTATCCAACGTACACAACATTTTTGATGATAACACAGAAAAAAATGAAAGTGAATTGGAATGAGAAGAGAACAAACCAGACTACGAAAACGAGAATTGCATGAGTCAGAAACCTTACAAGACGAATTGAGAGAAAGGAAATTAGAATATACATAAATAGTATAAAAACGAATGTCCAAATGAGTGTCTATATGAGACGTTAAATGCAGTCAAATGTGTGATTTCGCATAGTTTGTGATTCTTTCTTATGAATTCCCATATTATCATTTTTTGCATAGCAGACAAGAAAAAAAACATGAAGAAGTCTAGACGTTAATAGCATTAGAGGAAGAAAAGGTCGCTTAGATCAGTTTTCATCCATGTCAAGCGCCTTAAGGTCAATAGTTCTTTAAATTCCAACAAAGATGACAATCACTTTAATACACTGGGAGATCGCAATGCAATTCGTAGAAAAATTAGAAACTTGAAAAAATAAGAAATGCTTATGAAACGCTGACAATACATAACATCTTATATCCTTCAATATGTACAAGAATTGACTGCACGTATAGACAAGAACACTTGAGAATGGATGAAGCAGATCAAAATGGTAATTCCACCTATAATAACTAGGAGAATATGTATCGGGCTCTGGTGAAATGACCCAAACTAGACTAATCAAATAATGAGCTGGAAGTATGTTTACAGTTAGTTCAAGAGCTCCTAACTTCGTTCAAACTCGACTTAAATTTGCTACTCGATGCGAAAGAAATTGTGAATAGGACAGAAAAAAAGAGCTATCAAAAAATAAAACATTTGGAATTTAGTGCTGAAGAAAGCTTGGCGGCCTGTTCTTTGATCTCGTATTCCCACGTTAACGTCAGATATCATTTAATTTCATGAAGACGCGCAGAACGGTTGTGTATAACAAAAGAAAAATCTCAAGAAGATGGTAAATTTAGAATATTTCAAAGAATCAGATGAGCGACGTTCGATACCTTTTGAATTAACTGGGTGCTTAACAAAACGAGATTCAATCCTAACGGAATGAACTAGAAAAGGATAGCTTTCAAGAACAGAGGAAGCAAATACGACGAAAAACACAAACCGGACATTCGTCTTAACTGCTAAGGTGATTAGTCAGCCTTCGAAAACAAAACAAAGATGAAACTCAAAAATGTTAGTTATGGCAATATCGTCCAAAAATTGCTTAAACGAATTTCTTGACTTTTGAACATCAAGCTAAGAGGCTGAATGAGAAGCTAGTATGTCAATGGCGTGATTCCAGAATGAAACTGAAGAACAATCACAGGTTTGAAATAACATAAGTCGTATCTAATTCATCAAATAGCTGTTTAATCGGATAATAAATGCTGGTGTAATAATAACAACTCGAATTCAGAGGGAAGAGCAGCCGATTCGCAGAGAACGATAGTTCAACAACGATATATATGTAGTACTTATCAGATGAACAGCCAAAGTTATGGCAGATTCAGTATATTTCAGCATTGAGATGACTGTGGAATGGAAAAAAAAGTTGTACTTAACGCAGCTGATGCAAGTTACGAAGTCAATATGGGCTTACAGATCTTTAAAAGAAAGTAACTATAAAAGCTGACGTCACTAAAAAAGAAGAGGATGACAGCAGAAAATGACGGCTACTTGCCTTCTCGCATCATAGGAGCAAATAGACAATAGTAGAAAAGGGGTGGCTGACTGGACAGGAAATAGAATAAGGTGAAGAAGGCTTCTTCGTTTAACAGATACGAACAGAGAAGAACGAGAATACAACATATTAGATAGACATATATGGTAAAAGAGACATAGAGAAGAAGAAAATTGTGTAGAAGCAAGTAGAACGCTAAAACTTGGCCAAAATAGCTCTTAAGCATACAGACGATGGTTTGCATTCAAAAGAGATAATGTGCCAACCGTATCTTGAATATGGATAGAAGATGCAAAGCGAATCTTCATAATAAACAACCATCTCGTCCCATATTCCAAAACTGTTTATCGAAGTTAACTGATCCCAAAACATATAATACCGATATGGCATTTATATTTTCATCTGGGTCAATGGAATGGAGAAGAGAAGAAATCTTCAATTACTATTTACATGGAATGCAACCGCTCTATGCGGGACGACAACTCAGAATGATTGAAATTGGCTACAAGGATAAGGTTATGACGTGCATAACATCGAAGACATTCTGAGAAAGAGGAAGTTGCAAGAATCCATGAACGAAGTTTGGAAGTAAAATGGTTTTTTTTCCATTTCCAACAAATTATATTAGGCACTTGACTAGGTCTGCCTGCTTGACGATGATCAGCCCATGCCCTGCCTGACATATGCGAGAACAGTACTTAGTTCTCTAAAAATTTTTTTATTCCATTTATTCCATCAAACAATAAGTGTTTGACAGAGACAAAAAACTGGCATAGGATTAATTTAATAACGGAACGAACAATGTTTGAAATGTTTTTGAAACTCTCTCCATTCCATTGCAATAATCTCGCGAGAAGAATATGTATGTATGAAAACTACACATACACACATAATATTCAATAAACAAAAATATTATATATATAAACATTAAATGACAACGACAAATACACACACAAGGGCTTCTTCCCAACGTAGTTAGCTTGTAATTGGAGGAGTAAAAAACGGTTGAGCAGTAAATCAATAATGTTATGAAACAGTCAACTAATTTTGAAATTAGCCGAATGACCGGAGCAGTCAAAGCTGTACAAATCAATAATCGAACATTTCGTTTCCTCTTCATTTTTTGTTTTACGAAATTCGCTCATAAACAAGATGAAAGTAAATATGTACCAAAAGGGTAGCCCGAATGTTCATCGGTTTTGCGAGACTGTCGATGATGATAGCAGAATCTGTCGATTTCCATTGATAGGTTGTTCATTTGTATGATTTCAACTATTGTTTCTTCTGTCAGGCAAGTCCTTTCTTCCAAACTTTATTTTAATGCCCATATCTGGTCAATTAGACTTTCGTTTGCAGAAAACAACATGTCATTCTGTTCAGCATTGGACTTCTATTTTTCATTTTTTCATGCTTTGTCCTATACACCAACCCTGCAAAGTCCATAGTGCTGTTCGTAGTTCAATATAAAATATATTCTTTTCTGATATTCAAAAGTGTTTATACTCATAACAGGGAATATATCCATAAAAAACTTTCTCCTATTGCTAATGCTTGCAAAAATTTTTTTATAACAGAAGTATTCGGATATCAATTGAATGTGTAAGAGGATATAGATTGCATTTGCTATAATCTAATTTCAGAATTCTTATCAGTGCTCTTCTTTTCGCATTTTATTCATGGATTCTATCCGATATCGTCACGGAACCTGTTCGATTGAGAGCTCTGGGTGGCCTTGCGCTTCTTCTTATAATTGCTTTACTTGCCTCTACTAATCGGTCACAGGTATTTTCATTATCTTCATCTTCATTCATGTATTTCTCTGTAGATATCATGGAGACCTGTGCTAGGCGGAATAACTCTGCAGTTCTTGTGTGGAACAATTTTCTTGAAATGGGATCAGGGCAATCTGGGATTACAATGGCTTGTCACAAAGGTGTGAAAACTTAAAAGAGGAACAAAATTCTTCTTGTTTATGAATAACAAGATGGTTTTTGGTCTTCAGGTTGTTGGCTTTCTTGATTACACATACAGAGGCTCTCGTTTTGTATATGGATTTGCGACTAGTCCGCCTCCCATATGCGATTTTAGCTATGTTTTTGTTTTTACGGTAAGGTCAGCTTAGCTGTTCAATTAGAATATCCATACAGGCTCTCCAAATACTCATCTTCTTCGGAGCAGTTGTAGAACTGCTCTATCATTTGGGCGTGATTCAAGTAGTGTTGAAAAGATTAGCATGGGTGATGTCACATTTAGTAGGGACTACAGGATCAGAATCCTTGAATGCAGCGGCATGTATATTTGTTGGGCAGGTTGGATCGAATTGTTTTTTCGCTCACACGTACACATCATTCATCAGACAGAAGCTGCATTGCTAGTTGGCAATTCGCTATCAAGATTAACATCTAGTGAACTACATACTATCATGACTACAGGGTTCTCATGCATCGCCGGATCATTGTTTAGTGCTTTCATAGCATTTGGGGTATGTTGAATAGTTTGAAAAGAGTACACAGCTGAAAATAATCAAAATTACATGTGATGTGCGAATGGAAAACATTGATAAGGTAGATACAACCGGTAACTGTTCCGATCACCAGTAAATGATTATTTTATAATGAAAAGTGACGCAACTCACGTGAAGAGTATCATATGCTAATGGGGAATGAAATGATATGCGGTGGTATTGAGGGTTGTTTTTGTTCAAAAAACATCATTCAAACTCAGTTATGAAACAACGACCATTCTAATTGGATATTGTTTTCATTGACATCTCTTCGGTTTCTGAACGCTTTAAGCCCTTATTTGATTAAAAACTGAAGTTTTCGTTTCTAGGCATGTCCTTCCTATCTTCTAACGGCTACGGTGATGTCAGCCTGTGTTTCACTAAGTTTCTCAAAAATTGTTTGCCCGGAGACTGAAGAAACAAAAGATCGAGAATTTTCTTTTGCGAAAAGGTGGAAAAGCATAACGGTTTTACGAGGGATTAAAAATGTTTTACAGTCCGCACAATAACATATTAGAATGCATATCTGCTGGAGCTACCAAGTCAGCTGGATTGGTTATGGCGGTCGGAGCTAATTTACTCGTTTTTCTGGCTTTATTGCAATCCGCAAACAGTGTTATCTTCTATTTGGGAGATTTAATAGGTTACCAAGGCCTATCATTGAATGTAGCAAACAAAAAATAGTTTTTCAAGTATTAAATCGGTTTTGTAGAGGATGATTGGATGGGCATTCTTTCCGCTCGCTTACATGATGGGTGCTTCTGATGATGCAGATCCAGAAGTGAGAACTATTCGGAGGATTACCATATCTTGATGATTGATTTTGCAGATTGCATTGCAGGAAACCATTTATGTAGCGGAATTAATGGGAATCAAAACAGTCCTCAATGAATTCCTTGCTTACAAGCATTTAGCCTACTTGATTTCAAGTGGAAAGCTTTTGGGGGTTTGTTGTTCATACTCTCTCATCTAGTTCCATCATTCGTTCCAATAGGCACGTGCTAGAATGGTAGCCACATTTGCATGTTGTGGTTTCTCTAATATATCCATGATTGGATCCATGTTAGGAACGTTAGGTCAATTGGTTCCCGAACGGAAGCAATTATTAGCTAAGGTCAGATCTATTCAATAATTATTGTTCTGACCGAAAAAGCAGCTGACCATAACATAAATATTTGCAGCTTGTTGTTAGAGCTTTAATATCAGGTGCTCTCTCTTGCTTCGCAACAGCCACTGTCGCTGGTACGTTTCTTGGTTGATGCTATGAACGGAAAAGCAATTTAGGAATAATTGTTGGCAATCCAGTCGGATGCCTACCATCATCGAACACCAATTGTGTCAGTCTACATGATCTGAACACTACTTTCAATGTTCGGCAATCAATCAACTAACTTAATTTAATAATAAAACATTCAATCAATCTCACATGTTCACCTAACCCAAACCATGTTGACTAAGTCGAACTTCCTGAAAATCGTCTTCTTCCAGTAAATTTCAAGTTCAGACGAAATGCTTTGAATTGCGTCCGCAAATTACAGTCTTTACATAAAATGAATGGCAATTATGTCAACCTAGTTTTGACCAGAAAAATCAGTTAAAATGAACTTTTTGTTGAAAATATTTTTTTTTCTCATTTTTCGAATCATTTTCATAATTGTCGTCTATGATATTTCAACAGTCATATTTTGGAATCGTTCTATTTCCTTGGCGTTCTCTCATCCTTTGCGAACATATTGTCTTCTCTTTCGTAAATTACTCATAGCATTTGGAACGTGTTGCTTCATTTCTCTTTCACATCCATATAAGGACAGCTCATCTCTGTATATGTGGGCGATGTGAGTAAGTGTGTATGTGGCAGCGATAAAAGCCAAGAATTAAAAAGCCATATGGAGTTGTTCATTTAGAACTTTTGTATTCAGTTTTTGCTATTTGTTTACGGATCACAAACATCTCACAGACTGAACAGAGTGCAGAATAATAATAACAGCGATCGACCAGCTGGCCCAAATAGCAAATAGCGTGCGCGAGACGTTTCCCCACCCTTATTGATCGTTGCTTCCCCTTAGCAATCTCCTTTGTATGATGACATGCAGTCGAATTATAAATTATTATAATCATTCTTTTCTTCATAAGTAAAAGTTTTATTTATTAAGTTTTCCGAAAATTTATGTCTTCCGTTGCTGTTGTTTGATAACAGCTGTTATCACTTCCTAAGGCGATTTTTATGAAATCATCAAGTGTTTCACTTTTTTGACAATTGTCCTCCTTTGTTCAAAACATTTTTTTTTTTTTTTATTGAGAACCCTAATCATAGCTTTACCCATCTACCTCTCTCTCTCTCTTTCATTTCAAAATCTTAACTGCACTTACAAAGACTATTTATACTAACAAACGAAGATTATTACAATCCATTGTTTTGCGGCCATTGTGTCATCGTAATTGAGTTCCTCATTTTAATATGAATTTCTGTTTTTTTCCTTCCTTAAACTCTTAACTTGGCTTAACTGTTCAAATTGGAGTATTAAAGAAGAACTATCCCCTTTTATGAATGCAAAACAGAGTTATTCGAAACTTCACATTTCTCATTGTATTACCTTATTTTTGAGTAACGAAACGCCTCACCAAAAATTTCTGAAAACTCACGTGCGCAAAAGGAATATGAGAGTATGTTATTCGACTTCATAACCTTCTTGGCTTCATAGTTGAACGTCAAAAACAGCCTTCATATAATTTCTATTCATTCGTTCATTGCCATATCCAATTGTGACGAAGCCATTTCTTCCCTGTAACTTACAAAATACTGGATAAGTGGTTTTTGCATTCCGTCTTCATTCCATTATACGTAACACATTATGCATTATACGTACAATATACAAATTTTTATACTTCTATTCTAATCTTTCATTTATTTGTTTCTTACTTCATAATCTATTACTTGCTTTTTCTTTTTTCAATCGTTCTCTTTCAGATTATTTCCAAATCACTTCTTCATCGGGTCCAGTCTAATAGCCATAACATCAAAGTGAACTGAATTGCTTTGTATTGTATGTTTGTTCAGAAATTTGATCATAAAAAAACTTCCCTCATATTTTTAGCCATATAGCGACATAATGTCGTTAGTTCAAGTACAAAGGTCACCAACACCTTCTATTGGTGATGAAAGTGAGAGCTTGGTAGGTTTTTCCTCTTTTTAATCTTCTCAAATATATTATCAAACTTAACAAGAGATGTTCCTTGTTGAGAACTACACAGTACCGAGTTATCGAAGATTTGAATTGAAAAATGTTTTGTTCCATGTTTAGAAACCATGTTGCTCTTCCATGGAGCATATTTATGATAAACAACTAGATCGGCTCCAAATATGTTCTTTCTCACTCAATCTCTTTTAGGAACTTGATGATTCGCGTTGTTCCTCTCGCAATCGAACGTTGTCCGAATGCTATTTTGCTGTGAAAAGTGCTGCTGTTATTCTACCTCATAGGTTTCTAGAGTTAGTGATTTTCTGTTACTGATAACTAAAGTTTATAATTTAGCGAAAATTCTACCTCTCATTCACATAGTTCGGCTGAGGCGACAGAAATTGAAATGCATTTACAGCTTATGCTTCGGTTGCTCCGTCCACAGGATACTATGAATATGGCTGTTCGTTTACAAACACAGGTTTTTGCTCAATAATTCTATTTTCTTTATCTCTTTAAATCACAGATTGTGGATCATATCCGATATTTAGCTGTTGTTTCTGCTTTTGATGCGGAACGGAGAGTGTTATTGTTAGGAATGGATTATCATAAAGGACAAATGAGGTTTGAAAATTCTTCAAAGAAGTAGTCTCTAGCTCCTTTTTATAGTATCGGGGTTGTCCTCCCATTACTTTGGTGTAGTAGAGTAGAACTGTCTATGGATGGAGGTGTAGCCGTTCATGGCTCATCAGAGACTTGCAGTAAAGCTGACAATGCTATTCTATTCCGCCCTATATCTGTTCAGGCTATGTGGTAAGCTTTTAAAGACCAGTACAGAGTAATTGAGTTATTTTGGGTTTGTCTTTCAATCACTTCATAAAGAATTGGAAATAACACGTGAAAATTCTCCGAAACGGCTTAAAGAGCCTGCCACTGGTACTCAGCACTACATGGATCGAATAAGCTCGCTTGATTTTTTATGCGCACAGTGGTAGTGAACTTTGAATGAATTAGAAACTGATTTTGATTTTTAGGCAACAATCTCCACTTGATGTAGATGAAGATTATGGACTTAAAGCTGACACTGTTCGAAGCCACACCGTTGATGAAACTGTACAAGCGAAGGTAGTTGAACTTATTAAACTGAGAAGAGGTAATTTTTTGTTACAGGAAACTGTTCTGCGTAAAGAATTGAGACAAATAATGCAATCAGTTGATTTGGATTCAGTTACTAGCAAGGACATCAGAGAATCTTTGAGCAAGCGTTTTGGAAACGTTGATAATCACAAAGTTTGAATCGCCAGATCGGCGCTCGTACAATTCCCTGTATTTTTAGGACTTTATCGATCAGGAAATGCTTGTAATCTTGGGACAGTTAGATAAGCCCAGCATTATATTTCCATACCTTCTTTTGGGCACAGAATGGAATGCTTCCAATTGGGAAGAGTTGAAAGCGAACAAGTGAGAGTAGATATGTTAAAAGCATGAAGTATTGGTTTCAGTGTTGGCTACATATTGAACATGACCCGAGAAGTTGATAACTTCTTCCCTCAACATTTTGAGTATCGGAAGATTTGGGTGACGGACGAAGCCAACACACAACTACTGAATCACTGGAATATGACATGGGCATTTATTAAAAAAGCAAAGTAGGTTCAGATGATAACTACGCAATAATGTGATACTTACTTTGAAGGGAGTCCGGCAAAGTGTGTCTTGTACATTGTAAGAAAGGAATAAGTCGTAGTTCCTCCACTGTGATCGCTTTTGCCATGAAAGAGTATGGTTGGAGCTTGGAAAAGGCTCTGGACCATGTAAAGAAATGTAGGAATTGTATAACCCCCAACAAGGTTTTGATTTTGCAGACTAATCCATATCATAAAAGTTGTTGCAGGGATTCATCGATCAGCTACGAATGTTCCATGGCGCTCTTGAAGCATCTAGATACCGTCACTCTCCTCAGTTTAATGGAAGAATGCCCCGTGCACACTCTGCATCCTGTAGAGCAACTCAGCCACGGCCAGCAACTGTTGCCGTCCGTGGTATAGTGAGCTCTTTCGAGAGAAGACGCGACTCTACAGAGCCGTCATCTCACTTTCCACTCGATGTGATCAATAAGAGAAACTCTATCCAACAAATCAGTTAAAAAACGGGTCTTGTATATAATTTTTTTCACTCATTGTACCAAAATACGGGTCGAGCTATTCCATTCACTTGTACAATGTCTATTGATATTTGTAATTCATAAAACTGTAATTGGTAAAACATTCTTTGTTCAAACACTAATACTCTCAAATTATTTATCTGAAACTATCGCAACGAACAGCCATTTCGCCCCTCGCACTTACTACAAAACATAGGAAGACAGAAATAGTGTTCATCAACAAGGAAACTAAACACTTAGAGGGCGAACAAGATCATGAAACCCATAGTAAGACAGAAAAGTCCCATAGCCTCGGAAAGAGCGAATCCAAGAATGGCGTAGGAGAAAAGCTGTTGCTTGAGAGATGGGTTACGAGCATATCCGATAACGAGGGCTCCGAAGACGTTTCCGATACCAGCTCCAGATCCAGCGACTCCAACGGTGGCGGCTCCAGCTCCGATGTACTTGGCAGCACTGTCGATATCCTTACGAGCGACGGTGGTGTGGAGGCAGCGAACAGCCAACGCACTCTCAGCGCGAAGAGCAGAAGGAACTCTTTGAGCCTGAATTCATGAAAATTACAAGATGAAACAAAAATGAGAATTTAAAAAGTCAAAAAAATGGTAAAAAACTTACAACGATGGAGCGAGCGAGGGGAACAGCGAGGCGTTGGCAGTACATGGTTGATAGACCTAGAAAAACTGAGTTTAGAAAACGGCGAAGTCCAAAGATGAAAAAATCATGTAAGAAATTATCAAGAACTATGAAATCGCATATATATATATATGAATTATTAACTTAAGAAAACTTTTTTAGAGGTTAAACATTACTTGAAGATCCAAGACAATGCAATAAACCCTAAAACTAACTCGAACTGAGAGGAATAGCAATCCTTCCATGCTAAACCGCCCGTAGCCCGTGCAGCCTACACACTGAGGGAATGAGTCAGGCTCCTGCCGCGACGCAATGTACTGTAAATAAGATAAAAAGTGGGCTGTCTGCCAATATCTTTAGTGATTGTTATATATAACCATTTATTCCTCTTGTTTATATCACTAAGTTAATTGGAAGATTTTGGAAATGTGATAAAGAAGGCTTTGGAGAATATATTTGCAAAAAATGTTTAAATCAAGTAATAATATGTGAATAATGCGAACAGCGCAGTTATTTTTTTAACATTTGTTTCAACAAACTCGTATGTCAGCTTCATTACAACTATTGGAAATAACATCAGTTTTCAAGCTGAAAACTTGCAGTGTGAAGGAAAACTTGCAGAGTATGAAAAACTGGCAAAAATAGTTATCAACAGTAGCTTTAAGCATGCTGAGCCATGTTCGTTCAGCTTCTATTAATGATACTTAGAGTGATACATTTACTACTCATAACCATACGACTCTCGTTTATATATGATAATTCTCCAGCCACTTTGCGTTCTACGGAGTAAACGTAGATATTCGGACAAACTAATAGTTGGAGGTATTTACACTTCTGATGGTTATAATCTCTATTATACATAGTTGCGAACTATCTGTTGCCAAATAGAAATAACCCTGAATCAGAACTCGACGTACATCCAAACCGAATTAACGAAGAATTCGGGATTTCCGCGAACTTGAAATAACAGAATAATGGTAAAACTGTGTGTCCACATCATATGTCAAAGAATCATATCGCGAAAATCTTTATCTATATACTATTTCTGTAAAAGCTAATTTACTGAAATCCTCCATGTTTTGGTTTGTATCCGAGCTTGTGAGCTACGCCATTGTAAACAGCTGAGCTTGCATCTCCGAAAGCGACCATTCTGGTAGGGTTAGGATGAGCTTGTGTTGGTCCGACCTGAAGCACACGAGCTGAGACTGATAGACAACAACCATGTAAAAACCTCTTTAGCAATTCCATCGCACTTTAAACTCATCTCAGTATGCTTGCAGTTACATAATTTGTAAGCTCCACTGTTCTCCACCTAGGTAATACGTAAATTAGGCTGAAATGAAGAAAAAACTCGCGATAACTATAGGCTCAAGTTCAGTTTCGCTAGTTAGAGCCATGAAAAAACATGTGTTATAATTTAACTAGTTAACTGATATGATCAGAAAGGAAGATGAACAAGAATTATATTATTGAAAATTTTAAAAACTAACAGCAATTGAACGAGCCAAAGGAACAGCAAGGCGCCGGCAATACATGTTTAATGCACCTGCAGAAAAACATAAATAAAAACAGTAAGAGCTATCTGAGCAATCAATATAAACGAATATGAGCATACATAGAACATGATGAGTGGAAAAAGTAAAAAATAAACTTTTAATAGTTATTATGAATCAATTAAAATAACTTGAAAGCTAAACATTCAAGCTAAACGGCTTAGTCAGTTCAGCGAACAAGGAGGGTGAAGGAAAAACTCTTGCCGCGATAATGCGTACTGTAGATAAGAACAGTAGTGGGCTGAATGCCAAGTCTAAAGTATAAGTTTCTCTGATGACTACTACGTATTATTTGATGTTTTAATATGTGAAATCATGCTAACTCATAGGTTTTAGGTGTTTGAAATCATGGCTTGTGAAGACCCCGATGCAATTGAGACCTATTTTTCAAAAAAGGAACATCTTTTTCCTCATCTTGAAGGTGATAAAATTCCAACAGAACAGTTTCTCAGCGCTTGCCACGGTATCGCCGAATTTGTAGGTCAGTTTCGTATCAATCAACAAATATATCATTGAAAATTTGTTTTCAAGGTTTTCTGGGAACAGCTTTTTCTCCTGTTAGGAGTGACATACAAGGAAATGTAGATAAGGTGAGACATCGCTTTGAGAAAAACAAAGAATGTAAGCGATTGAGTCTAATCTTGAATAACGGATTCTTCCAGCACAAGTATACCTTCAACAGCTAATTGATAGCGATTTAGCTGAGAATGGCGGTAAATTGGGAATTGCTACAGAAGGTCTGTTGTGGCTGAAGAGGTAAATGGTCTTTATCTGTGTTTAGTTCATGTATGCTTCAGAGGTTTGGAATTCATGCTACAATTGCTCACTCTCATGGTCACTGAGTACAAGATGTTTGAAGACAAGTCTAGAACAGAGAGCTTAAGCAACGCCATTAACAAAGCCTACATTACAACCCTCAAACGACATCACGGGTTTGTTTCCAAAAATTTGTTCAAGGTGATCATATTTCTTATCGATTCATGAAACAGTTAATGATTCAGATTGTAATTCATGCTGCTCCATATCGCAAAACGATTTTGAAAGCTGTAGCTCTAGGAAGAGAGAACCTTGATGATGTGTGCATCGGCCATATTGAGTCACATTTAGATAACTTCCGACTCAACGTAGATGCTCTCGTAAGCTACTACCTGGAGAAGAAGTTAGAGACTCCTCAATAAGAATGTTGTTTTTAGATTCATTTCTATGTTTTAATTAAAGGGTACACGTTTGTGATTATCGTTCGATCTGCCTCGCAGAGTTTTAATGCCATGTTCGATGCCCATAACATATTTTATCAGAATTCCTAATCTCTAAGTCATATTCCATAAGTTGTTGCCAAATAAATATTAAGCTCAGTCTGTTTGCCATCTATCCAGGTCGTATCCTTCAAGTATTCGAGATTTGCGTGAACTTGAAAAGACTGAATGTTTAGAGAACCGTGCCTTCTCCACATTATATTGTAAAAAGCTTCAGTAAGACGGGTTACTTAACCAAACGCTCAAATCACAGAGCTTAAGGTTCTGACTGTGATGGTCTGGAGGATTGTACGCCAAGTTCTCAATAATGAAAAAGTTATCCAGGAGGTGACAAAAGAGTTTGTTCTTAACAGTCTTGAGTTACAGTTATCAGAAACTGCTCCGATGAAAGCTGCTGCCAAAGCCATTGTCAGAGGTGCGGCTACGGCAGAACAAAAAATTCGAAGTTTGAATTTGGATAAAAAAGTTGAAAAGTATACGAAAATATACAAAGAAGAATATCAGAAAGCATTAAAAGATAAATAAACGTGTATGAAATAACATGAATAAAATTTTACACTAGTCGTACGATAACTAATTTACTGGAAACCTCCATTCTTGGGTTTGTATCCGAGCTTGTGAGCTACACCATTGTAAACAGCTGAACTTGAATCTCCGAAAGCAACCATTCTCGAGGACTCAGCATGTGCTGGGGTAGGATCAACCTGAATTCGAACGATTGATCAAGGTAATCAAAGCATTGTTAAACCGCTTTATGTTTTCCGTCGCACAACGGTCTTGAATCAGTTTGTTTGCAGTTGCATAACCTATAGGATCCACTTTTCTCAACCTGAAAATTCGGTATACTAATGAAAGAGTACGTAGAATGTGGTTGAACAACAGTATTCAGTCACGATTTGACGAACAAGTGCTGAAGTTAAGAACTTACTTGGAATGTAATAGGCTTGACATCTGTAACGCCTGTCGCTCTATGAGATCCATCACAGAACGGCTGAAGTGTACGATTAACAGGAATCATAAGCTAAAATAACTACCTGTTGTGTACTCAAACCACAAGAACACCACGAGTAACTCAACCCTGCTTTCAATTCGACCTTCACGGACTTGTTAGTAGCAACCTTTCCTTTATACGGAAGCAAATCATTAGAAACACTCAAAATTTTGATCCCTGTAGCTTTGTTGCGAACGCACACCTCAAATAAAATCATTTGAACCTAGGAGCCTGACTAACAAAATCATACTTTGATGGGAGTAGACAGACTACGGATTCCTTTTGCCAACATCTGAGAAGTTCTGAATTGACCAAGATAAGTAAAAGTATTATAAATCCAATCTTCCGTTAGGTGCCCCGGTGGTAGAAGTTTGCAGTACGTAGGTGCTGTACGCAAAAGAAGTTTTCAATTTAACGTCGCTTATTTATAGTACCATTATTAATTTGAAACAATGAAATGCTACTTTCATGTTTAACTGTTGTCGTTAACGTTTCAAACATGACTAACTTATTGTGTATCGGACGTTGTGGAGTTCAGACAAGTAGAATATATATTGTCGATAGTAATTGTGAAGCCCAAGTTCCCCGGAATCTTTCACCCTTTCTCTGTAAGATCCGTATTCTGATTTCCAAATAAAAATTACTGTAGACCTTTGGCAGAATGAGTTTTCACTTTCAAAACAGAAAACTGCTTACTCTTTCCGGGATCAGGTTTTTGTGTGACTGCACATTCTCTTCGAATAGGACGATGTGACTTTTACATTCGGATGGCTCCCTGAGAGTAACGTCTCATTCGGATAGCTATCTGAGAGTACAAATCTCTCTTACCGCTTGTAGTCAATATCACTTATACACTAACATTGCAACATCACACAGTTGTTCTTAGAGAACACCTGAAACTCAAACACTTGTTCACTAGAGTTCAGTGGAGTCTGAGCCGAGCGCAAGGATAGGTGGGCTGTCTGAAAGAACTGTAACTCTATCTCTGTCTCATCTCCATTATAACTCCATAATACCATGTGGACAATTCAAAGGTTCCACAGTTGCTCATGATTTCTTTAAAAATCTTCCCCAACTACTCAAAAAAGCAACTTGAACATCTTCAGTAGATGCTTCTACTGAATAGTTACTTTTGAAGTTCAAATCAAGCTCAACAATAAATAAGATTTACTCTGGTTCAATACTGAGGACAAAGAAAGAATAGAAAATATTAGTGAGAAGAGAAGTTAGTCTACGACTATCATGCTTTCAGACATTAATGTCGTTAAATTTGAGCAAATATAGGAAAAAACATGAACTACTCCACAATTAATAAGAAAAAACAAAAGCAACAAAGAACAAAGACCTGCTTAGAGCACCAGACACTGAATTCCATACAAATTCTACCTAAGGTATGTGATATATGCAAGATGAAGTTGGAATGATAAAACATCCGATTATTGCTTAGTAATAACTTATGAGATCGTTGTGATAAAATGTACAATATGAAAGATAATACAAACGGGACATGTTATTCTATAAAACTTATTAAAAAGATATACAAATTCACCTAATCTTTCATGAAAACGCTATGTGTGTATAGAAGTTGTCATTTCTAACTTGAATGGATCACTAAATAGTGATGGGCTTTGGCGAAAATCAAACTTTGTTTGATCCGGAGACGACATACTGTTGTCATGCGATGATTTTCCATTCGCATCGATGTCGTAACCTCGAGTTGATTCAGTATTTGAACCGAGATCTTGATCTGTTTCGGTTCCATGAGCTGAGAGCTCTTCCTCATGATCACGGAACTTTGTAACATAAGATCGATCTAGAAGTAGGAAAGTTAAGAATGGAAAAACCTCATTCACTCACCATTATTGAAAGACATTGGTTCCGGATGTGTGAAAGTTGTTACGTTTTCATCATCGTCGCATATAACCTTTTTGATCATTTGGTCGTAATTATTGAGTTTTAAACGGAACGGACTGGGCACATGGTGCCTAGGACTAGCTTCCGGTGTTATGTGAGTTTGTTCTCGCCAAGATCCGAAAGATCTATGAAAATATGATTGAGACGTTCTATACTCATGAAATTTACCTCAGACCATAAGTCTCAGAATCGGTACCGTAGCCATCAGTAGGTCTTCTTCGCATAGGAGACATATGTGTATTTCGATAACCCATTCCTGCTACAGAATCGGCGTAAATATGATCATGTCCTCTTTCACTACAGACTCCAACATCCGAACGACTTAAAAATATGTTATTGACAAATTTCAATTTGTTTGAGAAACCTCGAAGGAATAGTACGAGGTTCAAACAGAGATTGGCTGGCTATGCTATGAACTTCGCTATCTCGAGAACGGAGACTGGCATTATCTCTCTCCTCAGCCTCGGTGATCCTATTCAAAGCTCCGAAGATATGCTTATTACTTTTGTATTTCCGCTTTTCTTCCCTAAATAGAATAGAATTAATTGGAATAACAAATGCAACCAAACCTATAGCTGGGCATATTCCCAAATTTGATTGATCTTTGAGTTTGGTCAGGAAGTGACTCATCTAGTTTTTCATCAGAAGAAGTTGGTATTTCAATAGTTGACTGGCGGCGATAACAGAAAAGAAGGCAGACCAGTAGCATAAGCATAAAGACTCCAACCTATAACACATCGATAACACACTTATTGTTTGCAACGCTTACCAGAAGTAGAAGACCCAACAAGGACGCAGTGTCTAAGCTTTTTCCCATAGCGATCGAAGGAATAACCACAACCTATAAAGGTAGTTGAGATTAGTCAAAAGCAAATCAACGTACTTGTTTCTTATCCTGTCGATGTCTCAAAGTACTGTTACTTCGTATATCACAAGCCTCCCCACTCCAACCAGCGAAACATACACATAACTAAATAGAGACTGTTTGAAATATCTATCACGATAAAACAAACCGCTGTCGTCGTGCAATCTCCATGTCCTGAACATTGAAGTGCGTGATTGTTCGATGGGCAAGCAACAGGAGCAGAAACCTAAATTCTTTTTCATATTTCGAAATCAGTATATTTCAAACCGAAGTCATTTCAACACAAGAGCCTGCAACACATACGCGACCTGAGCCACAGGAGGACCCGTCGGCTGATAGGGCTAGAGGAGCATCAGCGACAGATTTACATTGAATCTAAGTATGATCTAACTTGTTTGATTCATTAAAAGAGTAAAATACCTGTTTGGCATTTTGTGAAAATTGGAAAGTAAATGCTTTGAGTGAACCAATCATTGGTGATGCAGAACCACCCTCACAATGTAACGTACCACATCTGGCATCTTCTACTTGACAAGCTCTGAAACAAACTTTCATACAGAAGGAAGGAAGTCTCAACTCACTTTATCCCGTCAGGGCCGCTTCCGCAATTAGCGTATTCATACCCTTTAGAGTTTTGTTCAAAGCAAGTAAGGTCAGCTACATGAGAGTCTACAAAAAAACAAAATAAAAAAAACAAAACATCAAAAGATTGTACCTCTTCCCCAAAGGTTTTTACACTGTGCTTGAGGATCTGAGCAGTTTCCTCGCCAACATTGACCATCTTCTCCACATGTTGTACCATCCACTAAATGCCCGTCTGCTGGACAGTCTCCTGTCTACAATTTGTTTTTTAGTAGGCTTCTCAGACATTCGGACGATACCTTTCCATCACAAACTTCAGCTACATCACAGGAAGACTTAGAACTACGACAAACTTCTCCTTGTTTTCGTAGCTAAAATAACAAGTATTAGGCGAACTATACACAGTGTTCCTACTTCACAACGATGACAACATGAATGATGAGCAGCACACTGGGCATGAGCTCTTAATGTGCACGTTAGAGGATCACAGCAAGGGTCTGTGCATTGTTCGCGAGAACCACAATCACACTCTTCAGAGCCATCAACAACACCATTACCACATTCGCGGAGCTGATTAACCTACAAAACCCATTGAGGAAATCGGTTATTATTTATATAATACTTGGAAAGGACGGTTCAATAGGCAATGAACTTGACCTGTCGACCAAACCCCATGCATGCGGGCAACTGAGCATTTGGAGAACTGCCAGGCAAAAGGTGAGCCAGGAACTCTTTAAAGATTCATTGTTCAGATATACTCTTTCCAATTTCATACCCAGGAGTTGATGACATAACACAATTATTTTCCATCTCACATTGGCAGCTTGCGGTATCATGTTCTAACCCCATTAAATGACCAACGCTTTGGGCAAGCAGTTGACCTGTCCATTGGGCAGCATTATTGTCTGGTCCCTTAAAACAATAGTTAAGAACAATTAGTAGGTAATGTCTATAAGTGTGTAAAGCCATAGGCACGAGGTTAATGAATGGAAGCAAAAATCATGGCTCAATGCTTGCTAGCAATATCTACCCCTCCACAGCCTTTTCGTATACTTCGCAGAAAGCAGAAGTAGAATAATGCTTGTCTAGGTCTATTAATGCAGCAGGCTTTAGCCGACACAAAAGGCAATCTGACGTGTTTAGTCAACCGTACAGTGCCCAACGATCCATTGGGACACAGATATGTAAATTTAAAACAAGCTCAGCTTCCCTCATCAATATATTATGGATGAAAAAGTTACCTTAATAATTGCAGCGGATCTCTTAGTGCAGATACCCTTGAAAACTGAGTTCGCTGAATCATGATTAGAGAAAGATCCCCCAGTGAAGAAAATTGTTGCGTCCCTTTCTGAAAAAAACAAAAAAAAATGAAACGCTTAATGAGCTTTAAGAAAGAAACAATATAATTAGTGACCCCATCAAAAGAAAATGTGAAGATTATGTGCAATCATTGTATGCTTTCAATGAGTAACACCTGGCTTTCTAAGGACCATCAGCTTGGGTTCTTCAAACACCTGCGCTTCCGTTAGATACATTAGCGCAAGGAATAAAGCTTTTTTCATAGCATAATGAGTGATATGGTTTTTACCTATGTGATATATATGGCCTGTCGCATATTCTAAAACTCCTGCCATTGTTCTTTCGATATCTTCGAGCAGATCAATACGTTGAACATCCATCCACATTTCAGAATAAATGACAGACAGTCTAATATTCAGATCTCGAGATAACATCTGAAAATATTCATCATTGTTTATTGAGATTCAAGTTCACATTTATAATATAATATTATCCTCATTTATCAACTCTGTTTCCGCTTAAAACACTCAAGGAGGAAACGAATTTCCTTTGGCTCGAAGCTATATCTAAAGTGTTGAGACGATGCGCTTTTTAACGAGTCGTTCAATATGCTTTTCGAGAGCCTACTCACTCGTATTTCCTCCAATGCATCAAAGACACAAAAGGATGTCTTTCTAGAGATAGAGGATGTTAAACACATTTCAGAATACTTCGAGGATTGGAGAAATACTACTTATTTGCTTTAAATACGTTCAAAACCCTCACCAAATCAGCAATGTTCACGCTTTCCAACATATACGTCAAGGCTTCCTCTTCGACAGCTCCATGATTTTTCGTCTGAAATATGTTCATAACACAACTATGAGCAACGGAATATTTAGATTTCATAGATAGGGGAACACAAGGCTTATACAGACTTTAATCCATGTGTTATCCCTGTATGTATCTATTAAATCCTTCAACTAATCGTTCACTGGGATGATTGACAACTCGAACAATCGAGAGTCCCTAACGAATTCAGCAGTATGTCAAATGAACACCAGTTCATCAAAAGCCATAAATCTGAATTTCGCTGGGCCACTCGACGTCCAAAACAATTCATTAACAGTGAATCCAATTATTTTCAAGGAAAAAAACGGGCAAAATACTTACGAATTCATAGTCTCCGATGAGAGCTATTTCAACATATTTCGTTTGTCTGGAAGCATCCCTTGAATGTCGAAGCTTGTGTTGTCGGACGGTCTGGAAAAGAGGAAATGATGAAGCACAAAGTGATTCTGGATTCAAAAAGATAAAACTGAGTAATCGACCGCGTTGCGTGCTGAGCTCTTAAGAAATGAAAATTAAGTTCATTGCAATGAACAGTATTTCGCAAGCGGTCAATCTTTCCTCTTCGGGATCTCTTCTCCACTTTTTCAGCCGAATTAATGAAAAAGGAAACGATTGAAACATATTTTAATGAAGCATTTCCTTTCATGAGTGGAAAAAGAGAGCCGCCAAGTGGTTTGTCATCGTAAATTAGCATATTTGTTTATATCTGGCACGATGCACTCCCTGAGGAACCGTTTGCTTCACCCCGTGTCATAAAAAGTCCTCGTAAACAAGCAAATATAGATATATTTCAATAAAGCGATAAGGCGTCATAATCTCAATATATCAAGATGTTTCCGATTGCTCATACAAGAGGAATCGCTCGTGATTGTTGCATCTCTGTACCATGTGAGAAATAATCTTCAATTCTTAGTTACGCATGCATATCTAATCCTCTGTCACTCAAAATATCTAAGAACATGTATACATTAACAGTCATCCCCCGCTAGTAGCCGATGAATAAAAAGCTTTTCCAATGAAGATATTTCAACAACATGCTTTTGATGACTCACTCAAAAAGTATGTGGAAATACTTTGCTATTCCCTAAAGTCCTAACCCTAACTGACTCATTCACTTTCTAGTTATCCATTCTCTTCACAAACGATAAAAGTTCAACGAACCCGTAGATGAGCTGTTTGAGCCGCTCCTGCCAGAGCTATCCCGCACTTGGCTTCTTTTGCCCATTGCGTTTTATAGAGAATATGAGGATGTCGCCTTCCTCTGTCGCCGCCATCTAATGGCCAGATACCATACGCAGAGCCGTTTGAATAGGCAAGGACGCCTCTGAAAAGTATTAACACGCTAATTACTAAACAATGTAAAGGAGAAGAGACTAGTTTTATAACACATCTGCCTATTGCTTCAGAAACTAAAACAGTTATGAGATGCAGATTAAAACGTTTCATGCCAGATGGTTGCAATTGAAATTTCAGTTATACAAGATATTTTGAATTTTAAATTAACCAACCTCAAACCGTTACAGGAAGAGAGAGCGACAAACGAGTTGGCATCGCCAGCAATACTACCTTGATAATAACAATTTTCAACGCGGCTACTCAAACCGTGCTCTCCGTTGCTGTCCAACTGAAACTAGATTAGAAAATGTTGCTTCATCATTACCTACCTTTCTGAAAGTTGTCTGATTTAAAAATATATTATTATTTCTCTCGAGCACTAGTTTTAAGCGACCCATTGCTGTACTTCTGATAACTATCGTTACATGCTGATGGTGCTCAGCAGCTTTTAAAAAATAATTTCTAGTGTCTTAAACGAATTTTAATGTTTTCGAAACTCTTAATGCTCACAAACCTATTCCCATCCTTTCATTTTTATCTCGGATTTGAAAAGGATGGACGATTTCATATTCGCCAACAGTCAAACTGTCTATGAAAGCTTTATTAGAGGCGGATTGTCTCAAGTCGACTGTAAATTGTGAGTTGTGTCAACGGAAGAGATCAGAACGGAACAAACCTTTTGCTAATGATGGATAGAGATAGAAAATGAGTAACATAAACACATTACCAAACATCTTGAACATATTATAAATCCCTCAAAGCAATGAACACATTTAACATCTGGAACTAATTCTACGTAAACGCATTCGTACACAGAAAGTTATCAGAACAAAGTTAGAGTCATTTGAGGCAAAAAAAGAAAATTGAATTTCAAATTCGTAGAGCAAAAGGCACTCGACTGGCACTTCGGACACTGTTCATACTCGGACGTTCAGCGAAGAATACGCCATTTAACAATTGCGCAGCTGTGCTATTCAAAGATTAGAGACGAATCACTCCTACTAAATTTGAATAACAATATAAGCAGGCCATATATAGGGAAATAATCTACTGTGTGGGTGGCTGTACGGTTAAGAAACTAGAAAATGTATAGTTCAATGAGGTGAACATTGCAAAACTCTCTGAAAAGGTTCTAGAATGACTCCAAACATGGAATCTGAAAGAGTTCTGAGCAAAGTAAAGAAGGATGACAAGTAAAAAGAACGGTGTCAAATAACATCAGAGCTCATAATTAGCCTGTATTAGTAAACAAAACACGCTACAACTGCTATAATGCAAAGGTCAGCTGAGGCAAGCCATAAACCGAATCGATGTTCTAGTATTAGCACCGCCCCGTTTCCTCAGATCCGGAAACTCCGCCCTAGGAATCACTACCAGATTTTTTACTTCAAAAATTTTGCGCAGCATGTTATGCGCAAAAATTTCCAGAAGAAGGTGATTTTTCACGCTTCTACACTTGCTCACACAAACCATATAATTAAGCTATTATTGCATCTGCGATTAAGAGAGATGCACTAGAGACGTAACACAATTAAGGAGCTTCGCAAAGAAGATATAAACGAGTTAAAAATGGAGAAAAGTGAGAAAACCACAAAAAAAGTCGTGAAAGATGAACTCATAATTCGAAGAGGTCAGAAACATAAGAACAATCAGATGCCCAAGGGAGGAGATTAAGCAGAATTGCCGAATATAGCCAAATGTCAGATGGAAAAGAACGTTTAGGAATCAGATTGCAAGAAGAGTAATGAGAGAATAAGAAGATGTTCTAGATCAAACCAATAGAAATATATAACAGGAAACGAAAAGACGCTTGGAAATGACAGCAGCTATGACGTCTAGAAGTAATGACCATATTAGAGGTCAGGCAATTTGAATAAAACGCGTCATTCTTCGAAAACACATTAACATTTAGAAAAATAAATTTGTGAGGTTTCAACAGATAACTTATAACAAAGTAATAAAAAGATGAAGCTGAAACTGAATACAAAATCAAGCACATCATTCAAAATTTAAATGTTCGCGGTGCCATGCTATGACTTGGCTGGAAGCCATAGATGTGCGTCGCTTACCGTAATCCGAGGTGTACGCCGAGTGTGCGTCTTGTCAAACGGGCGGCCTCTTATAATATCTTTAAAAAATATGTTTATTGTAAGAAGATATAATATATTTGAAATTATTCAATGATAAAGCTATAGGGCAGGTATATTCACATTTACTTTTCATTTTTCTATTATTCAAAAATCTCTTGTTAACCGTTTTTTTGATTTTTTAAAGTTTTGATTTTCGACTTTTTTTAGCTTGTATTTTCGCACTTTTCTATCCACTTCATGGTGTTTTCGATTGTCTTGTTACACTCTTTTCATTCTTTTCAATTGAATATTCCATGTTAAGTTCACTGTTTATGTTTTCTGTTGATTCAGGATGGCCTCACTTGCATTGAAAAGTGTAGTAAGAGGGGTGATGGCCCGTGGTACTCGCCAGATCGCCACTTCTACCACTTTATCTGGTAATCATGACGATGTCATGGAGAAGTGGCCTGCTGAGAGTAAGATCTTTTTTTTTGTCGTGAAACTGTTTATTTTTTGTCTTTAGAGTTCGACAAGCACTTCATTGATTATCTCAATCGTCCAGAAATCGACGGATGGGAGGTCAGAAAGGGTGAGAAACGCATATTCCATCGATATTTATCAATATATTTTGAGCTCTCACCGAACTTCATGATTATGACGTTATCCCCGACCCTAAAGTCGTCGAAGCTGGACTCCGTGCCTGCCGTCGTGTTAACGATTACTCTCTCTGTGTCCGATTCCTTGAGGCCCTCAAGATCAAGTGCGGTACCCAAAAGAACAGAGATTTAGTTTACACTTACATCATCAAGGAGGTGAATTACTCTAACTTTCCATATTTTTATACGTTGTATATGTAGATCCGTCCTGTTCTCGAAGAGTTGGGAATTTCCACTCCAGAAGATCTTGGATACGATCAACCTGAACTTTTCATTCCTCAACCCGAATACTGGTGGGAGAAGAAATGGTACGTTGAACGTTAATTTGTAGTCAATGTTAATATTCTTATATTATAGGTACGCTCAGTACGGATTTGACAAGAAGCCCGGATTTCAATTCTAATGTAGAATAGATAGTTTTGCGTAAGCGATAAATATTGTGAATAGTTTTACTTTGTTTATTTTCTGAAATGAACTAGTTGGCTGTTTTAGTTAGCATAATCGAAAAATTAACATGAAAGGCTTCTCATTTTAATGAAGAATCACAGCTCACCACATGTCTTTAAATTACACACTGTAATATCGTTAATATTAATAATTTGAGGATGCTTAGTATAGAGATAAATGTGTTTCTTGGGCTTTGTCATGGTAAATCCGTTGTCTGAAAACCAAGCAACTGCTTCGTTGTGACAAGTCACCCAAGTTAAAGGAGACAAGTCAGTGGCTTCTAAATCAACTCTGTACTTGTTGTCACCCAATCGCAAAACGGATATGACAGTTATATCACCAAACAAGGAGAAGTCCACCTCAATCGCATCATCTTTTCAGTTCAAAGTAGATGTGTACCTCGTAAAGTTTGTCTGGTAGAAGCACAGTTTCGTAACCAACTTGAACGTGCTCTGAGTTACGAATAGACGCGGCAAATAAATAGTCGCTGCCATAATCAGAGAACCTAAATTAGAAAACGATATTACATTCCATGAAACCGAAGAACAACTCGTCTAAGGATATTTCTTTGCCAGCTAACGGTTCCATATTCACCGTATACTTTGTTTTATACACAGGAGTGAAACCATTGTTCCAAGCGAACTGTTTCAAATGAACAGTGTACTTCTCCAGTAGATCAGGAGTGTCATTAATCACAGCTAGTCCCAGATCATACTCAGAAGAAGCGAACTAAATAGAAGCTATTAAACGGGATGAGTAGAGCTCGTACCAAAGAAACAGCTATAGGGTAGAAAAATCTTTTCGCTTCGTAATGAACAATTTTCCAGTTGAGATCAAAATCTATCGAAGACCAAGTCGGAGCTGCCCAAACATCATTAAGTTGCCAGTAAAGCGCACACATAGTGTTTCCAATACCGTCAGTAGTCGTGCGCCCGCGATACCTTTAAGAAAGCTTTTCTTCACATCAAATAAGGTGATACTCAACCTTCTGTAGTGTTCTGTCTGCGTTTTATACATAATTGCCTGATGCGCTTGTGAGAAATAGGAAAACCGGTCAAGAAATTTGGTACTGTTGGCAACGAAAGAACATGATGTTATGTTATTTTGTGAGAAACCAACACATTGTTCGCTAATCTGGTAATGTGAATGGTATTCAAATTTAACGGTATATTACTCACAGGGAAATGAGTGTATACTACAGCAAGATTGGTTGCTACTCCGCCGGGGTGATGCTGACGATGGAAGAAGTTGGGACTCGAATAGTACCAATCGCTTTGAGGTAAATACTTCAGCATTGTGCGCCTTGAAAATCACTCTCATTTGAATAAGTATATATAGAAATATGTTTAGAACCTGAAAGGCAGACTTTGAACACCATACTCTGTAGCACATCTAGGTGTTGGATATGAGCTATCGTGCCACTGATCCACAAACTCGTCGTAGTTATGTATGTCTCCGTACAAGTTATCGTTAGGATTCGATGGTAAGTTATCTTTGCTTAAAAGAAGTCAATCGATGAGGAAGGCACTCAAGATGTACATTTCCTCTGCATTTCCGTTACTAGGACTTGATAGAAGCAACGGCCTGGTCGGATCAATGACTGCCACAATAGGCTTAATAACCTTCGAGCGTATTTTGAGATAGTCTTGAATTTGGGCCTCCTCTATAAAGCTGATGGGAAATCCAAAGTATATTCATTTTTCTGCTGTTTACCGGAAAAGGATTTATCTGAGAACCAATGTCCTCTGATCGCCACCTCAAGCTCATTGTCTGCTGCATATAATAAGATAGAAGGATGCTTCCGGAGTCTCCAAATCTAAGTTATTCAAATAAATGAACACAACACTTGCTTCTAAAAACCTGCTGTCTCAATTCATTCTTGATATTTGTTAGGAACTCTTCGTTTATGGGGTACAATGCGCATGCGAACATCAGATCCTGACAATACGTCATAAGAAAACTTCCTCATTGCAAATACCTGCCAAACTAATATTCCTTTCTCATTGGCATAATTATAAAATTCCTCAGATTCATAAATTCCTCCGCCCCAAACACGTAAAGCGTTCATGCCTGAAAATAAAATTCTCAACCGTTCATTACTCTCTTGTAGGTGGAAATGAGTTCAACATGGAAAGTTCACGGAACTTCTCACTTGTGAACCAACACATCAATACCGCATAAATGAGATTAGCTTACCAACTTCAGCTGCAGAATCGAGTAAAAATTTTGCTCTTGAAGTATAATTGGAAGAAACAAACATAGTAGCAGGTATCCAGTTGGAACCTAGAAAAAGGGAAATTAATTAAAATATTTGTAAACTTCAACCTTTAAGAAACACAGGTCTGTCGTTAACTCTGAAGAAGAAGTTCCTACCCTGAGTAGCATTATTGGTATTGACATAGCTTTGAACTAGTTGTATATCACGAAATCCAATTTTTTTGTTGATTTCTTAAATACATTCAGTTTTCTGAGAATCTCGCACTCTTTCACCACCTTGTTCAAAGCACTGTACGTTGATAGTGTACAAGGTTTGAGCGCCTTCCCCATTTGGCCACCATAATTCTACCTGAACTCAAAAGTGATTCTGTTTTGTTCACAAAATACTCACTCTTTTCTTCGGTATGACCAGTTCAAATGGTACACTCGAAACCAATTGTATAGATGTCAGCTGAAGACGAGCTCTGACACTCACATTCGAAGTTCCGTCAACAGTGATTTTACAGTCATCCTCTCTCATGTAATGGGTAGGTAAGAAGCTTATATCGCCACTGACGATCCAATTATCTGAATTTGATCAGCAATGTGAAGTCTGATGTGCTCATACCATCTGATGGTTTGACGACCCAAGAAAAATCTATTAATTCAGGTTCATTCAATAAGAATAAACTAGTGGGTTTCCAAATTCCCATTGTAGCCACAGAAGGTCCCCAATCCCAAGAGAAATGATATTGGGCTTTTCTCAAAATCAACAGTGGTTATCTTCAATCACTGGTAATACCTTATCATGTTTATATGGCACTCTCCATGATAAATTTCCGGTGGGCATTGTGGCGGAACGGCATGTCCGTATGTTTGCTGGAACCATTCTTGAATGCATAGCACCTTCTCTTTACCTTGTACTCATCAGATAAGTTTTTGGATGTCTTTACAGGTGATTTGAAACGGACTTCTAAAATATTTTCCCTTCGAACTAAATCCGAAACATCGACATAGTATTTCAGAAACATGTTGTTAGTAGACAGAACAGTGTTCCCATTGAACTTCACATGTGATATTGTGTCCAATCCTTCGAAACTGAGCACTTTGTGTTTAGTCTATTTCGAATGAAGTTTTAATATAAAAGCGATATGATGAAACCTGAAGCTGCGAATCCGACAAGGAAATTTTTCGAGAATAACTCCAGTCAGATTGTCCTATCCACTGATATTTGATGACATTGTCCGCATACAAGGGATCCCCAATAACATTTTGCTTGAACAGGTCACTATAAACGTCCCCAGGAACATTTCCTGTGATCAAAACAGTTATAACGAGAGCAAAAGATGAAGATTGAAAAGAATAAATGATAAAAACTACCTTCATAAACCTTTGGTATTCCCACTTTTAGCAATGCCCATTTTCCGTTCAAGTTTATTTTCTCAGCAAAAGCAAAATATATAATTGAGAATAACAGTATGACTTCAGCATACTTGACCATTCCCAGCATCAAGTCTATGAATAGCAGAATAAGGACAACTAGAGCGACAGTTATGATAAGATAAGGACTTTCGAACAAAATTCACAATCTTCACTTTACGTACACGAATAAACTGAAAAACTGTATCTCGATCAATCGAGATCTAGTTGAGAAAACATGGAGAATGAAACTGTTATAATATTTATTACATTAAATTTACTCTTATTACGGAGAAAAGATATAAGACTTCAAATTTTAGAATGCGCTGAGCCGATTATATCGAACAAGTTGGCACTGGCGAATATGTTGGCAGGATCGAGCTCAGTCTAAAATCAGTAATGAGCTTGTTATAAAAGCTGTGAACACCTTTATAGCTTTCATAACAGCGAGCGAAATAGCACCGTGCGATGTCAACATCCATTGTTTACGAATTTTTCCAACACCGTGGTGATGCGATATACTACCTCCACATGCAATTATTTCATCACGAGCTGCTGTCTATAAATATTAAATATTAAATTGCCTACAACTTGGCTCATATCAACCTCGATTATATCATAAACTTGAAGAGCGTTTGATAAACCACGAGCATTGAAACCGAAATAGAAATAGACACAAGCTCCCGAATCATATACTTGCGTAACTCTAAAATACAAGACTGATCGAGTTGAGAAGACAAAAAAGAACCTGCAACTGGATAGAACGGGGTATTGAACACCCAGCTTCTTGCCTTTCTCACGAATGAGTTGTTTTACATTGCGACATAAATTTAATACTTTGTCCCAAGGCACAGAGGTTTCGAAAGACTCTCCAACTACTCCATATTCCATACCTAAGTCCTGAATTCAGAAAACTATAAAATCAAGCAAACAGAATATACTCACTCTCAAATAAGCGATAGCGAAAGTGAGACGATAACCGTACTTTCCATTTTCTTCTCCGCCAACCTAGACATCTAACATTTCAGAAGTCTAATATTCTACTTACAATTCCTTTGAAATGAGAAGCACACTCATACAAGTTCTGTTCTGCGCTATCAACTTCTTCACGCGTTCCTTCGAAGACGCATGTAGCTGCCACCATTTCATCAACCTTGAATCCTTTCCAAGATGTGACATAGAACTTGCTCATATTTGATTTCAATCCAGCCCAGTAGGACGAAGCTGCTGTTTTCAGAGCTTGTCCCATAATGAACTGCTCATTATCGACCAAACGAAGAGATGCTGGTTGAATTCTCTGTTTCAAGCATATTATACTCTAGTCTTATATCATTACTCACTCTCTTGGCTACTTCTCTGAAGAATCTGACACCATGTTCAAAGTCAGGGAATACAATAGAACCGTAACGTTTAACTGGTGGGAGTGGGAATAGTTTAAGAGTAACCTGGAAGCAAAACCTATACTGAAGGTGTTATAAGTCATTACTCACTTCGGCTACAACACCTAATATGCCTTCTGAACCCATGATGACATGATGAAGATCTGGACCACTGGATATTCTGGGAACTTGGCATTGCTTCTCCATAACTCCCTTTGGTGATACAAAAGTTATATGAACAACGAGATCTTCGATATTTCCATATCTACAGTAAATTACATCAGCTGAGAAAACCAGCTCAACAATACTTATTCTTTTTCATTCCACTTGCTCTTGTACTGATCCATCCACCAAGTGTACTGAATTCAATTGAATCAGGTTCATGCCCACAAGTGAATCCTTGTTGGTTTAACTGTCTCTCCAAATTTTGACCAACGATTCCAGCCTAATAAATAAAAATAAAAATTTGGTTTCGTTCAGTGTTTTTCATATGTACTATTCAGTCTTATTTTTAAATTTTCGATGTCCAAGCCAGTTGTTTGGTTGACCTTCGTTATTCACAGACTGTTTTAAAGCCCTTTATAAGCAGTGGTTTGATGCTCTATAAGCTACCTCCACATTAAGAATAATCAATAAAACTAGAATGACAGGTTGATTGACACCTTTCGAGGAAACACTTCTTATCAATATTCTCCTAATTTATGGAACAGACTTACTTGAGCACGGAAGGTCAAGTTCTGCTTGTCAATCCATAGAATCTTATCCATCAAAGCCATATCCAGCGAAATTAAGAACCGATTATCGGTTTCAGGAGCTTCTAAACCCTGTGAGACGGAGGTTCCTCCTCCGATTGGAATAATGATACAGTTACATGCTTGTGCAGCGTCAATGATCTGCATAGGGATAGTTTATTATTATCCTGATTAAAGCATACTCACCTTGCTAATATCTTCTATCGACTTGGGCCAAACGACCAGATCTGGCATCTTGTTGAACTTACCATGACGAAGATGGAGCATGTCATGCACCTGCAGCAGGCTGTATAAAAAATTAGAAGATATTACATACCGTGTGACCATGAGCTCTCATAAGTCGGATTCTGGGAGCATTTGAAAAGCTGATATTACTCTCTCTCAGGTGTTCATGAATATCGTCCACACATTCCTGAGGTGCAGGAATTTCGAAATCTTCGATACGTTGGCTTGGAGTTTTGTAGTCCAAATCAATTCCCAAGTTAGATTCAAACCAAGGTCTAAGGTGAGGTAAGACGTCTCCAGACATTTCATACCTTAAAACGAAAACTAGCTCATATTGTAGATATGAACCTACTTGTTTCCAGTGAAAGTCACTTGTCCTTTCTCATTAAGCTTAAAGTAAGAATCGGCATATCCCCAGCCATTCCACTTCAAGATCTTATCCCTGAAAATCGATTTAAATAAAATTGATTTTATTTGTTTTTTTTACCTGTATGATTCAGGAACATTGTTTTCTTGCAAGTAATCCACAGTTCCTTGAGGCATCTAGAAGCTATAAATTTGAAACAATGAAGAAAAAAAAATGAAGTATGGTACGACTCTTATATGCATGAGTGAGTACAATGTTCTCAATTGATAACAAAAGACTTAGGAAGGCGACATCATATCATGAGAGCATGTGATACTACAACCTTCTTGTTTCTTCAAGTTCCGCTCTACGTTATCTACACATTGATAATGAATTTAATTTATTCATAGTTGCGCTGAGTAGTCACCATTATCTTGAGTCTGATGTAGTATTCAAATTGATGACACATTCCGTTGGAAAGGAACATAGCTGTAATCTGCTAGAACAATTTGAGAATTATATTTAACAGCTTACATGATGAAGATAACACCCCCATTTTTGATAGACGTGTTTGGGAATAAAGTACGCTATATTCTCTACGCTACAACATTCCTTATGAGTAGTATGTAAAGTGTTGACGCTGGCGCACATCTTCAATTTTGGGCTCATTTCAGAAATCGCTAATAGAAATGGTGATGCCGTTACTCCGAAGGCACAACGGTGAGCCAGCGTCAACATTTCATATACTACTCCTATGCGTATAGCTATTACCTGAACATACTTTTTATTAAATGAACCATGGACTGTTACCCTTCCGTGTTAATTTCATTTTTATATTATCTGTTTATTCGTTCATTCATTTATAAGTACAAACATCTGTGACACATTAATATGAAACGAATGCAAATCAGGTTAACAAACGAGGCTACCGGTAAGAAAACGAAATCATGTAATAATATTATTAGAAAGATAGCCTCGTCTCATCACGGGTTATATGAAAAAGCGACGGAGGCACGCTTCACTAAAACCAAGGCTAGCATCCTTGATTTCAGTCAGATCACATTCAGCCAACCATCGGACTTCCCTGGTTAATAGGGAAGAACACCGATTTCATTGGATAATAATTGCATAAATATCTGATAAAGTTACACAAGATAAAACGTGGAGGAATAACGGAAATGTTAATCTCATAGAGCACACAGCCGGACCACGTTACACCTTCAAAAAACTGAGAACTTTGGAGCAGGAACAAAATTACATACAATAAACAACACAAAGATTCGCTCAAATAGGATAGATGGTAAAACAGTTATATGAATTCTCTGTCGATTGGAGACCACGAAAAGACTATAGACAAGAAGAAATAACAACTGAGAATACGACAAATAAATAAGGGTGCAAATTAAACTTAAGCTGTCGATAATGACTAAATAAAAAATGATATATACATATGGTAGCAAGTGAAGTGTACAAATTCTAAGATTTTCCTAATCTATGACTTCTAAATATACCGACCAGCGGTTTGAAAACCAACGTTTTCAAGGCAGCATTGAAAAGGACAACAGTTAATTCATCCACTTCACACAGTTGGGAGCCCCACAAAGGCAAGGCAATTTTGTTTCAGCATCTTCCAATTCAAACTGATAGTCATACGTTAACTGGAAAATCATGGTAATGTTGGCAACGATTTATATACTCACTTCTTCTTCTGATTTGATTGGACGATTGGCTGTGATGATGATCTTCTTATCTTCGGCAGAGGGACCAGCAGAGAGGATTCGAGTGGAACAGTTAGGATCGCATGAATGGTTAATATATCTGAGAGGTTTGTTAGAAATATATATTATGCTTGGAATTACCTGGCAGGACCACCAGCCATAGTAGCATCAACAAGTAATTCTTCATCAATACGGAACATATACACTCCTCTGTTCTGAGCATCGTAACGTTTTTCTCGCATTTCTCCAACTTCACTTCGAATTACTTCACCCTTCAAGAGCAACAGTAAAGATAGACAACAGAAAAACGAACTGACCTTATATTCGATTATCATATCACCCATTCCAATATCTTTTCTAGCATATAAGCCTAACCCTTGAATTTTAGATCTTGCGAGATATACAGTTTGACGCCATTCTTTTCTCATCTTTTGGTATTGTGAATAACTTTGAGATGAACTATTGAGAGACTCCATTCTTCCACCAAGAACCTAATCGAGAAAAATAATAACGGTTTGAGAGAAGTCAACTCACAGCATTCCATTCCGATCCTACATTGCCTGAATACATCAACTTCATTTGAGCAGCAGCCAACTCATCGTGGAGAGTTGATGATTTCTTATCCCCTCTTTTGCCTTCGGCAAGTCGCCTTAATCAAAAATTAAAAAAATGATGCTGTAAAGAAGGTTCACTTACATATTTGGCGCAGCTGAGTTAACTTTCGTTTTGTGCTTTATATGAGTTCTAAACCTAGGCTCGCAACGAGCACAGCCTGATGGATTTTCCGCCAATGGTAAATCAAGCAGAGGGCCGTTTGGATGACGGAAGGTATAGGTGAAAAGAGAATCAACTCCAGGAAGCTGAAAAAGCATGAAGTTGCACATATACAGACACGATAAACAGTACCGATTCAGTTATCTTTGAAATAGCTCCTTCAGTTAATCCAAACATTGTTTCTCCCTCAATTATATTGGGGAAGAAGCGAATAGCATCCGACTGTGCTCTGAGCTTTTCTACTTCAGAAAGAACAGGTTTCCAAGATTCTATAATGAAAGTATGAGCAAAGTATTGTGTTCAAGATTACCGATTGGTGTGAATCCTTCGAATTTCATATTTTCGCCTGTGACAACAAACCAGGGTCGTAACTCATTCTCTTGAATTGTACATTCAAACAGTACTCTCACTTTAGCGTCAACAGGAGACCAGAACCAACGGAAAGCCTTATATCCATTCTAAAAGAGTGATACTTTCAAGAAAAAAAGATGCCGAATGATCTTACTGGATATATGAAGTTGGTGTTGTGGAAGCTTTTAAGTTGATCAGGCAACAGTTGACCAACATTGAAGAAAGATAAAGCACCAAGTCGCATGCACATTTTGGGTCCATCTAGACAATACTGATTAGAAGAAATTAACTCTTTCCAACCTGATAGTTCAACAACTTTGCTCAAAAGAGCCGTTTCATCTCTTTCTATGAATATTCTTCTCAACACTTCCAACTGATGCACAAGAACTTCGGGGGTAACCTCATGATGGCTTGGACAGTAGAAAGTCTGAGCAAACAAATTAGTTTTGATTCGTTTTTCCTTATTCCTACCCGATCTTTCACAAATTTGCCACCTATTCTCTTAGCGCAATGTAAATGGAAGTGTCCACCACACTCAGCTTTATTACATTGAATGCTAGCTCCATACCGTCCACATAAACAACAGTTCACAACAGATGCTCGGACAACAGCTCGGTCAACATGAGATAATCCACCATTAGGTGCTTCATAAACCTATAAATCCAGAAGTTAAAAGAAATCTGATCATTCGGCAGTACCTCTGAACTCCAAATAGCGCAATTGACATGAACCCATAGATCAGCTCCTAGATTCAACAACCTTCCACAGAGAACTGGTTCACCATCTCCAATACCACCGCACAAAACGCATACACGACGATCCATATCCACAGGTGCGAACGTGACGCCCATTTTTGGAGATAGCGCGAGTTCCTGGAACAATCTTGATCCGAAGGAAGGAAATGATTTCTTACTTGTTTGACTGTTTGAATTCGAACAAATGAACTATGCATATCTTGCGTGAAAACCTTCCAATCTTCCGATGGTCCATGACCTGCTTCCTTCTTATGGTGATCAGCAATAGCGCCCAAATCAGAAACACGTATGATCTGAAATGAGTTCGTGTTTGCGTTATGATACTATTTTTACCTGAACGTTATCTCGTTTTCCTTCATCCATAACATATCTAGTATCTCTTGGGGATGTGAAAGCTTCTGGGAATACTGATGGCACTGTGGGATGTATTTTTCCTTGATTTATGCATTTGGCAAAACTTTCTGCACTGATTTGTCTTAGTTTCTCCAACGTTTCCTCATCAACATGAGATTCAGCCTGAGTCAACTGATCAGGGGAAAGTGCAACCTAAGGTCGAAATTGAGAACAGAAAAAAAACGACATTATTACCTTACTAGCAGCAACAAACTGATAAAAGCATTTTGTTGAACAGAAGCTCACATTATCATCCTTCTGAAGAAAAAAACTTAAATTTGATTCAACTTATAAAACTCACTTCGTCTTCAATCGGTGTTAAACCAAGCTTACTCAATGTTGAATGAACACTAGCACTTTGCATATTGACCTCACAAGCCCGACATTTTCCTACAGTCACACTTTCCGCAGGTTCTGTTTTGATATGTTTCTTTTCTTCCACGCTTCTTTCAGGAGACATCGGAGGAGTGTCCATAGCATAGGTGATCGGATTCTCGAAGCCAAGCATTTGTCTTAGATGCTCGAACACACTATCTGCGCCATCTTGTGGATTAACTCTCATGATAAGAGATATTTCTACATCTTCCACTTTGGGCCGGTCCTATGAAACGATTATTAATGGGAAAGTTTCAAAAAAAAGATTCTACTTGATGGAAAACAGAGCGATGAGGCTCAAGAGGAGCTGGAACATCAGGCACTTTGGATGTTACGCGGAAGTGTTCATGAGCTGAGTATCTACCCGTAGATGCTGTTATAGCAGAGATGGCATCGAACAATCCAAATTGAGCATCCTCTTTGTCTGCGTACATCTCGAAAGGTTCTGGGAGCTTCGCTCTTAATATATGAATGAGTTTATAAACCAAGAGAATATACTTACTGATTGAGTTTAGTCAAAAGCTCATTTACAGCATGTGGAATGGGTGGGAGCAAGGTCAAATCAAGCATTGATGGTTGAGGAGCTAGTGTACCCTTAAGAAAACAATTTTAGTTTGTTACTTGAATGTTGTCTTACTTTCAGTCCACGTTCACTACTGCTGAAGAAATCTTCCACAAACGTCAAACTCATTTGTCCTATCTCGAAGCCATTCATAGCTTTTTTATCTATAACCGACACGTTTGATAAGTTCTACTTGGTATGCTATTACTTGGTCTATCTGGAAGATCACTAATACCAATAGTAGCGAAGGCAGCGCCTGGGTTCCGTGGTGCTGGTTCAAGAGCTTGCCGTGGAAGATGTTCGCACAATCTTAGCTGAGTTTGTACACGTTCTACCATGAGATCATACTCATTTCCCGCAACGCCCATCTAAATGGAAACATAAAGTTTGTGCTAACAGTCAAATTATACCTTCTTCGGTTGAGTTCTTTTCTTTTTCTGCCGTGGTTGATCGACATCGACCAGATGAGAAGTTCCCAAAGGACCCATTTGACCTGAGTTTTCCAGCAGTCGTTTCAACATTCCACTGTGTTGACGATTCGAGAATGCTTCCATACGGTTCTGCGGATTCATATCTTCTGACATACATACACGGATCACCATATCATCCAGAACTTCATAAATCTGGGAAGAGGAATGTTCGAAGAATTGTTTGGCTATAATACCTCTTTCTCAAACGGATTTTGCAACTGTTCATACATAACGTTCCCTAAGCGAGGCGATCTATACATTCGAGGAGGCCGCAACTATAAGTATTTAGTAAGCAGATGAATTTCATCAAATGACATACGTGATTCTGCTGAGAACCCAATCCACCAGGAGGCATAATTCCATAATCACCTTGTTGCGGCGGTCGCATATGCTAAAATTTCATGGACTGTTTGAACAAAAGTATAAACTACTTGATAAGCCATCATAGGAAGACCAGGTCCACCTGTTGAAAGAAGGGGTGCTCCGGGTTGGCCATTTTCTGGATTACCATTAACACCTCTGTTCATTTGTTGTAATCTCATCATCTATGATAAAACTGCATAGCATTGAGCTCCATAACAGACAAACCTCATTAGGATCCGCTGGCATTGTTCGCAAGATATCATGTTTCTGTTCAAACTCAGTGATGGTTGTCAAATGAGTCTTAATTTCCTTTTTACATTGCTCCAATTCCTAAAAAACTCCAATACAAATGTGGTTTATATTGTTTACAAACCTTTTGTCTATTCGGGATAGAAGTAAGAAGCATATCATATTGAACTTTGTCTGCATCGCTCAAGTCGCACTGAATTCAAATTATGAGCATTAACAACTGATAATAAATTACGGAAAGTTTTCCTTCTGGGTCTGTAGGAGCAGTCTTCATCATTTGTCTTTTCTTAGCTGCTAAGTTCTTCTTCTGCTTTCGCATACGATTCAATTCTCCTTCTATGATTTCTTGTTGTTTCCGCAAATCTTCTGATCTTCGTTGGATCAAATCATATTGTTCAGAAATCTGAAGAGAAGGAAATGCAAAAATGTAAGAAAGCACAAACTCACAGCTGGTGTCAAATGAGTGGTGACCCGTATTTGAGACTGAGGAGGTGTAGGTTCAGCGCCTGGTCCAAAGAAGTCCGATCTCATTTGTGGGCTTGGAGCAGTCATGGGTACTCCTGGGGCATTAGGCACTTTGAAACGCTCTATTGGAGACATTAAGCCGGGACGATAAAACTGTGAACCTCCAGCTCCCAAGGCACTATCGACAGACACGGCAGCAGCATTCTTAAACGAAGAGAAGACATACTAAAATTAATGAAAAATTGTTCTTACTTTTCGTACTCTCGGCTGTTTTCCTCTGTTTGCTCGGTTTTCGCGAGCTTTATTTACAAAAACTTGCCTAGTTTCAGAGTCAAGAGTACGCCATAACCGTTGAATATGTTTCACTCTTTCGTTCCAATCAGGATATTGCTCCTGAAACAAAATAATTGTAAATAACTAATATAGTTCTAGGCACCTTCAAATATCCATGTTTTTCATTCGAAAACAGAACAGCAGCTTTCGTAGCTTGGCTACCTAACGGTTCATCTTCTTCCCATCTGCGATAGAAAAGAAATGAAACATGGTTCTCTATAATTCTCCTCACCTTTCAATAGTTGGGTTACTCTTTTCTTGTCCATCCAATTGACTACTGCTTCTCGAAACTTTAGCTGCAGTGACAAAGGAAGAAGGCATGGGCTGAATCGGTTGAGATGGCAGTTGATTCTGCGCTTGAGGCATGTTGGCTTGAGGCTCAGTAGGGAATGCTGAATAAGTTCCACGATAAGTTTGAACAGAAAAGGAACTAACTTGTTGGTTGAGCAGCATTAGGATTTGAAGTAATTGGATCGTATCCTTCGGATCTTACAAAATCCATTGCATCTAAATCAACTAATCAAGATTAGATAATGTATCATAGAGACAAGTACCATTCAAGCTATCATCGAATTCTCCATTATCATTCTCTTCGTCGACTATCCAATCGTTGAAGTTAGCTAAATCCATATCTTCCAAATTAACTTCCAAATCCACATTTTCAAGGATATGGACCTTAATTAAGAAATAAGAAAAAAATTGGAACATTGGCTCACCTCCGAAAGATCATTCTTCAAAATCTCAGTAGCTTCATGAGACAATTCATGTCCTCCACTCGCTGAACGCCTACTTCCTTTCGCTAGTTCTCCAGTTAACCGAGGTTCTTCAACCAAAGCATCCAATAAATTTTTTCCTTCTACAGCTGGAGCACCAAAGAAACCTTCCTAAAACATGTTTAATAATACGAAATGGTTACTTGTTTTCATTTCAAACCTGAATAGCGGGTGGATAAGCATCCTCCAACTGACTTCTCCTCGGCTTTCTTGGTCGTTTCAGCTTTTTATTGCCGTCTTCGTCAAATACTTCTTCTTCGGTAGTCAGAGCACGATGTCTAGGAATTTTAACGAAGAACCCTCCAACACCTATAGAAAAACATGAAGCACGTGTGAAAATTTTTTTTTTTACCAAGTTTGGGAACTCTTCTTCCAGGACCTCCACCTCGCATTCCACGACCTCGGCCTGTAGTTGTAGTTGGTACTACCAGCTCCATTTCATCATTCATCGGACCATCGTCATCGATGCTATTAACTGAAGTAAGACATGAATTTTCGAAACTTGTTGTTCTCACGAACAAAGTTCAAAGCTATCTGATCTATAACTAAATTCCGGAGTAGGCCGAAAACAACTTGGCATAAACTTTGACTGGAGGATCTCATCAGCACATTTATTTAAAGCAATGCCGTCGCAAATTGTTAAGTTAGAATCTGATAAAGGATAATTGAACGGGTTAAATATCAGCTTTAGACTTACCTATACCCATAATAGTTGAAATATTTCGAGCGTTCGGTCGACAAGATGAGCATCTCATTTTATTTGATGATGCAGATTCAAGCATTTCGTCATCGAAGAGATCCTCGCATGTTCCGTGATACCACCTTAGTTCATAAACAGTATAAAAGAAAGAAACTAGTGAGTGATACCTTAAACACGCGCTACATCTAATGATTTTATCCCCAAGTTGGTAGCATTTCGAACATTTTGGACATTTACGTAAAGAATGACAAGCTGTGCACAAGCCTTCACGAGTTAGCTCTGTTCCAGAAGATACTCTCACATTACATCTTCGACAGCGAGCGCACCTAAGCCAGGTTGTTTTGTTATCTACGAGGAGGTGCTTACCATTGACATCTCCATGGTCCGTTCGGTATTCTTTCAAGCGGTGGATTCAAACAGTATATGTGATAAGAAACATCGCACTCTTCACAGAGCAGTAGTTTAGACTCATCTTTCCCTTCGCCACAGCCCTCACAGACTGTACAATCTAGACATCTCCAACCACGGGAAACAACAGCTTTGTTCAGCTAAAATGAGAAGTAAGAACATTGTTTCTATTAAAATAACAAACCTTATCGTGTAGGCCCACACAGTAAGTGTGATATGTTTGAGCACAGTTTGAACAAGCAACCATAGAGCTCTCGATACCTTTACCGATAGAACCACATACCAAACACAGTGATGACTGTAAAAGAAAGTTACGACTATAGATTCATACAAATATACCTTATGAAGAAACTGATCATTTGCTTCGCAAACGACAATGGTGCGTACATACTCAGGATCCTCACTTCTTTCCGACCTATCCATATCATCAATCATACTTTCATCGATTTCTCGCACCAATGGCTGAATATGGGAATTATTAGAGAAACAAAACCCAGAAACATACAACTTGAAATGGATTCGGATGTTGCTGCAGCTGCTGTTGCTGTTGTTGCATGATGATTTGGCTTATTATAGCTGAAGACGCAGCTGATCCTCGTCCTCGACCACGACCGCGACCAGTCCCTTTGCCATTCGTCATTTTGTTAGCTCCTCTTTTACCACGTTTTCCTCTAGTGGTGTGACCAAGCTTATCGGAGAAAACACCAGAAGGAGGTTTGCCTCCTGATCTCGTTTTCATTAAACCTTGGCCACGACCAGGTTTCTTTTTTCCTCCACGACCACGACCATGCCCTCCTCTAGTACTAATTCTGAATCAATATTAAACATCTCTAACACAATCTTACCTTCCAGGCACGAAGTCTTCATCTATATCAGATGGAGAGTTTTCAGGATAGAAAGGAGAGTTCCGAGCACTGTCACTTGTTGTGGCAGGAGAAGAAACTGCTTCAGGAATTGTATAAATTTCAGAGAAATCATTAGTAGTAGCAGTAGCGATTGCAGGAGGCGACACCCTAAACGGATTTAACGATGACGGAGCAGCTAGATCTGATGTCAACGGAGCAGACCCTGGATAAAAAAAAAAATAAAATGTGTCCTACTCATTTAATCTTACCATTAACGGAAGAAAGAGGAGACATTGGAGCATTAGCAGATAACATAACATCACTAGATAATACAGGAGATGCCATACAATTGGCACAGACCACATCTTCTAATTCAGAATCTCTTGAGCATTCTCGATGAACATATCTAGAAAGTGACAATGAATCTCTAAACAAACTTTGTTATCTCGTACTTTTTACATGCGGAACACATTTTTGCAGTGCTTAAATCAAGCACTTCTATTGAGCACATTGGGCATATATTAATTGAACGGCAAGGCGTGTTTCCAGAGCAGGAATCACATATTGAGGAACCGTTGGTCCCATTACCACACTCAATACACTAGAAAAAATCAGAATACATAAATACATTTTCAATATGACTTACAGGGTGAAAATCTGTTTTTGGAGCCTTCATTGAAATACGATGATCGTTTATGAGACCATTGGAAAGTTTCCTCCTGCTGAAAAAGCCATGTAAGGAGAGGAGAGTGACAAATAGATTACTTGAATTTTTCTTCTACAAACTGTTCCAAATGAATATTTTTCTGCAATTTTGTCGATGAGAAGGCTGGTGGAATATCGCCGTCCATCACACATCAGAGTATTTAGAAAATCATTTTGATTAAATTTGATATCCCAAAACTGAAAAAGGATGAAAGTAAAAATTATTAGAAGATTATATAACACTAATTGAAGATGAGAGAGATATGAGAGAAACGATTTAATCAACAAAACACATCAAGTTGTTAATTGAAGGCAGCAAAAAAGGAAAAGTTAAAGAAAAGTTGAGAAAAAGAAAAAAAAAAGAACATTTCATCTAATAAATACTCAGGAAGAATGTTGAATCCAAAAAAAGTCACAACGTGCCTTGTTTCAGAAACATCATGTAAGTATATGAGCTCCACTGCACAACACAACCGACTTCTGTACAACCGAGCGTCAAAGTAAAGATTCAAATAATTCGCCAGAGGGTTAGTCTCCCGCTTTAAGTACGAAATATTTTTATTTATGCTAATTTGTAAGGAAGGACAAGAGAAGAACTAACGAATAAGCTAAAAACCAAAAAAGGCTATTTAACAGATATTCAAAGATTTAAAAAATAAACACAGCGCGCTATAGAAAATAGCATTATCGATCTTTGGCATCTAGCCAAAGAAGCGATGTCTGCACTCTCTACTCTCTCGCACTGTGTAAAACTGCAAGGCTGCCCTTAGACTATTGGGCGCAGCTAGGTGGGGGCTGCCCGCCAAGCCTAGAGATGTGCTCTCTCCCTGCCTAGGCGAAAAATCGGAAGGCGGGTCCGCCCGGGTGTTGCTGCGATTCTGGGGACTTGTGAGGGATTTCTATTGGAGTTAAGAGGGATCTCTCTGTTATTTTAAAGTGAGATGAGATGAACAGCATGGGAACAATTTTTGTAAATTAAAAAATTTATTCTACATTTATATGGACATAATTCGTACCCGGAAGAACAGTTAATAAAATCATCAAATTTTGTTTTTTTTTCTCATTTCTTCGTTGCTGTTTCGTAGTCGGGGGGTTTAATACCTGTAAGCAATGAATGAAAGCTTTTATTCGGTTAAGAAGCTCACCATATTTGAGTCTGAAAGCTTCCAACTCCTTGTTCCTCTTTTCCGATCGTTCTGATTGTCTTGATTCTAATTCTCTCATAGACTGATTATATCTCTATATTTTAGTAAGAACATCAAATATTTCAATAAAATTGCTGAAACACTAACCTGTTGCCATTTTTCACCCTTTTTTTTGGCTTGCTCTCTTCTATATTGCTTACAACGGCAACAACAGTAACATAGGCAGGCCAACAGAATCACCAATATGATTCCACCCAAAATTGTAACAACGATGACAACAGCAGAGAGATTGACTAAATTTTAAGATTGTTTAAATTGAGATTAAGAAATGATTAGTACCCCAGCAATTCTTATGTCGGACATCGTCTAAAGGGCATTGTGGGAAGTACCACTCGTAGTTCATGCATCTATTAACATTTCCGCCACACCAAAAGCAGTCCTATAAGGAAAATTGACATTACTCTTTATCTTTTTCTACTTTAACATACATGACCTTTGCGTACACACGTCTCACATGTTTTTTCCTCATTGGCCTGTAATGTACAGTTTCCAACTGGACTGACGAAAATATCTGCGAATTGAGCAGTGCACGTCATCGCAAAAAGTAAAAGTAACAAGCCGATCCGGAACAGGGACATCTTTGAGAGAGCTTAATATACCTACAGAAAGTAATATGAAGGATAATTTGAAATAGGAAACTCAATAGAAACGACCTCACAATAGTAATTTGAGTAGATATGAACCTGACTGATATTGAAAGAGAATAGATTCGCAAGAGCTTTTCGATGTTTAGAATGAATTAAAAGAAATGGTCGATATGCCCAAAAGAAGTTTATTGAAACAGCTGTTTGAAGATGACTAATTGATTGGTACGGAACAAATGATCTTCAAAAACGAACAACCAAATCCATGAAAATATTCCATAAATGGATAACTGAACATGTGATTAAAGCAGAATGAATGTACAACAAACGGCTTTTTCCACTTGCCATACAATTGGAAAAGAATGTTTCAGTTGTAAACGCAAGACTACTGTTATAACTTCATGTTTGACTGTCAGTGTCAAAAGACTATTTAGATTTGGCAAACAGTAGTGAGCCAGACAATGTGTACATGACATGAAGTTCAAATCATCATCATCAGCTTCCTTCACTTTCATCCACTTCACGAAGGTTACTAAGACATCTATTTAACTACTGTTCCTTCAAAAATTTGTGAGGTTGCAGTAGTTAAAAACGTTTGAAACAAACAAAACGTCTGTTTAATATTGCTCTTCCAACTCTATGTATGTATGCTCTATTCACATTCTCTCGATGTTAGTCAATCACGTATGTTTTCACGTGAACATACAAAATCATTTCTGTATATCATGGCATAGTGAACGGTTGCTTTTTACAATTCTCAGTTTGCATAGATTAATTTTATTTTTTTCGTTAGTTACATATTCAAACAAAAAAAAATTTTTTTGGTTGAACGTTTAATTGGCTTTGAAAGTAGTCTTATCGAAAGAAGGATAAGAAGCTGTTAACTGCAACATAATATTGTGACTATTATCAATTGTGATTTTTCTCACCTTGAGAGTTACAGAATCGTCCGCCAATGGTTCCATCGCAGTTACATGCTCCTCCCCATGTGGATAGCAATCCATGATCACCACATACAAGTCTGCTGCAGTCAGGTCCTGGAATAAAAGCATTTTGACTGCAAAGAAGGCTTTGCGCTATACCTGTGAATGTGTTTGGGCATGTGCAAGCTCCCTTGCTTTGATCCGATACATTGTTCTTGCAATCTGAATGTTCCGTAATGAGTATCTCATGTGGAAATATCAACATACCGCTTGAGGATGATGTAATGATAGGGAAGACCTTATTGATTTTGTTTTTTCCATCTGCGGAAAGCAAAGTCAGCTAGAAAAATGTATTGCAATTTTTGCATTATTATTTCTACAGGAATCACCTCATGTTGCGAATATCCTAATGGCATCGAGGTAATTGGTTGGTATAGTACAGTATCGAAACTACAGGATGTTCTAGAAGCTCTTCTGGAATGTGGGTACAGACTGTTCGTCAATGTATATCCGTCAGGTGTTTTTATCCCCAAAACAGTTCGTGCATCTAAAGATATCCTTTGATTTGAAAATACATTTATAAAAACAGAACCTGTTTGGCTTACTGATACCGCACTCCACGTATCAGATACAGCTCTGTCTTTCAATATAGCATGAGGTATTGCCACTCCATCGAGTACAACAACAGACGCCCATGACGCAGGGTTATTTGTATTTAGATTTACGAACTGTGTTGATGTAATCTTGGATATCTTTGTGAAAATACTATAATTGTCGGCATCACTGGCTGCAATTAATAGTTCAATCCGAGAGAGTATTCAATTTGGAACTCACCAATAGTTCCCTGAGAAGCACTACCACCTATGATAACATAAGCTTCGCTTTCTATATTAGCTTGAATGCCAGTAATGGCGTCCTTATTGAAGTTATGATAATTCAAAGATGTCTTAGCTTTGATAAGTCTTTGGAATAGCTATAACCATTAGTTATCGTTGAAAGACTGTTAAACCATATACTTACTGGAATAGTTGGATCAACATCATTCAACAGCAGATCATCAATTATTGTAGTTCCTCCTGTGGCTAAGGTAGCTGTTATAATATCTTGTCGTGTATCAACTTTCAAGCCATCATCAGAATTTTCTATAGCATTGTAAACAAAGAACTGAAACGATTGAATGTTATCAAGTGAACTTTTTGAAAATAAGCACTTTCTGTCTATACTGCTGAGCATTCTCATAGAACTTCTCATTGTCAATGCTTATACTTTCCAAAGGCGTTACAGACTCATAGTACAAGACAACAACTCCATTTTGGTCTTTTCCTATGGAACTGGTGGAAACTCGGAAAGCATCCGATATGTCAAGTACACCTGAATCAGATGCGGATCCTGCGCAAGTGATTTTGTTATCAGGAGATTTCAAAGCAGCATTAAACTCTTTAGGATCTTTTCCTATGTAGACAGGGAAATCTGTAATAACTCAGATGTATTCAACATTATCGACTGATTGCTTACAATCTCCATTAGTGCAATAGACCAATATTTGATAAAGCCAGATGTTTGTTGTTGCTTCATCCACACTAAGAACTGGCAGAGCATCCAAGAATACAGCTTTGGTCAAGGTGTTCTGATAATGAAAAAGGTTCAGATTTCGTCAAAAGGTATGTTCCATACATCGGGTAAGAATGCAATGATGGCTGTGTACGTACGGAACTGAATGTCCAAACTTCCTGGTTGAGGAGTATCATCACAAGTTCCTGTTAACGTGATTGTTAGGATTTAGTTTATCAGCCTTACCGTGTTCACATGATAATCCAGTAAGTGCAGGATCGTTACATATGCATTTATAGTGTCCTAAACCAACACTTGGTGCATCTTCGGACCAAACCAATTTTCCATTATCAGAACAATCTAACAACTTCTTAGCTGGTCCTACAACATATCGTTGAGCGAAAGAATATAATCATGTTGTCTTGCCTCTAAGGAATGGAGCAATGGGAGTATCACAGAAATAGTTTCCATTACTATCTACTGTAGAGCAGTCAAATGGTGTTGTAGAATCATCGCAATAGAATGATTTGGTTCCTATGAATGTTCCATCAGTAGTTGAAATCTGATATACATCATGTGAGAAAAATAGAACTTCCCTCCAACCTGCATGTTGTAAATTCTCTCGGTGCCTGGAGGACACATTTCTGTTGAAACTCTCTTTTGGCAGAACAAGGGTACGAAGTTGAAGGAATCAGTACTGATATCAACACTCTGAATGGGAGTGAGGATGATCATATGAAGACAGTTATATTCACCTGTTGAGCATCGAAATATGAGGTTTGTAAGACTTTCGAACGGCAATCAGAGTAGGTAACCTTCAAACTGTTAGTCTGGGCGCCCACCATTTGAGCTCTTAATGCTGCTCCAAAGTCTGAAGAAGAAATTCAATGTTGAAAGCATGTTTTGTACTAACTAGTATCTGGAGAGCTAATTGTATTCTCATCATAATCCTTATAGGTCATTTGTAAATCAGTGAACATCAATCTGAAGAGAAATAATAGTTTTCAGGACTGATAGAATATCAACTCAGAATTCCATAATCGAAGAGAGACGATGCGAGAGTTAGAATCGAAGAATAGGGCAGATACCGTATACTTATCCGGAGTTAATACAAAGTCAGCAGTGTACAAGTTGCTGTTGGGCTAAGATATGATTAATTGAGAGATTATCATTTTCTCCGTTAATCTTACCATGTAGTTCATTGTAACAGGTATAGCATTTCCAGTAGTTTGAGATGTGAACTTCAGATTAAGTGGACGGAATTGAATATCTGCGGACTCTAAACATCATCAATAACAACATGAAAGGTGTAATTGAAACGAACTCTGGATGAAGACTGTAGCAGAGGCGAAAATGGTAATATTGCTGGTGATTGACTGGTAATCAACAGATCCTAAAATTGGTTTGTCGCCAAGGAATTAGTATATGTGAAAAGCTACCAATACTCTGCAATGGACCACTGCTGAAGGTCTTTGAGAAAACTAAATTCTGAGCAGGTCCTTTCGAATAGAAATCTGACAGAAGCTGTAAAACACAGAATAACAGAGAAATACTGATTGAGATACATTTGAGAAATCCGGAGAAGAATGATTAGTAACAATTAAATGACCATTGGTGATAGCTGCCAACAGGTTGAGCATATCGGGTGATCGTTTGAAATTGTTAATTTGGGAATCAAAGTCGGAGTTATCAATCCAGAAGAGTACCTAAGAGCATAGAATCAGAATTCAGAAACTGATATAGTACTCACTTTGTTGTTTTTGTTGATGAAATCTTTATACACAGCAATATCAGCATCAGCGAAGGGAGCTTTTTGAAGTGGAAGTGTATCAGTTAAGAAAGAAACGAGAGAATTCTGATCTGGAGCGTTTGACGACTGCATAATACTCTATAATGGATGAGGTAGCAAAGATATTCAATTGAGTTGTATATACTTGTAGGGCTTCAAGAATTTGAGGCTGATCGTAATAAACATTATCTAGATTCTTCTTTTGATCGTTGTATACAGCTTGGATGAATGATCTTAAGGTGTAAATTGATGATTGCTATGACAATGAATGATTTGAACTTACGGATAATCAGTTTGAGATACATATCCTGTATCTATTTTGAATTTCTTGTCTTGGAATAAGACTTCTCCGAAATCTGTATAATGCTGATAAAGATTTCCTGTGGTCTTAGCAGTTGAGGCAAGTAAGAAGGTTTCGTAAGCTGATTCATCAACTGAGCTAGTGTATCCCAGAATGTATGTTTTCTTAGGTTTTGGAAGAGGAGCAGACGTGACGGTGGTGGGAGCAGGGGTTGACGAAGGGACAGTAGTGCTAGCAGAAGTTGGAATTTTTGTAACTGTTGTCGATACAGTAGTCAATTTGGTGGTCATTACAGTTGTTGATACAGTATTTTGGGTTACAGTGGTCGTTACAGGCGGAGGAACTGAAACGATGATGAAATTGATTATATTCATAACATTTGCTGATTGTTGAAGTTCAGAACTTACGAGTCAAGCAGTGAATTGGAATGTAACGTTTCATCAGTAGTGGCGGTTGAGAAGCAGTGAACTGTGGACGAAGAGTCAGCTATATTATGAAATGAGTTGTCACCGGTGAAAACTTAAACAATGAGTTACCCTTATTCCGAAAATATCATCTGCACTGCTAGATAGACATGTAAATCCTCGCTACAAGGAAAAGTTGTCAATTGTCTCTCTCAGACATGATACTTACCTTTATGAAGTTATCCAGAGAATAATCTTGACGTGTAACTAGATCATCTGAGCCACTCACGATGGGAATGCCAGTATTGGCTTGTTGGTCAATGAAAGAAGCTTGCGCGATGCTCAATGATTTAATCAGCGGGGAATCGTAATTGAAACGTAAGGCCAAGTTGTATTGTATTTCTAAAACATCACATTCATGTTTTCTTCTTCCAATGAGATGAACTCACCGTCATACGGCATTGTCTTGGATGTATCCATCAATGCATCTTCAACGAATGAATAGAACGATCTGAACGTCTTTTCATTACCAGCAACGAATATCTATAAATGGTAATGAATGTGTGATCAAACTTCCTTTCTAATAGCTTCACCTTGACAACTATCTTTGCATCAGAATTTTGTTTGAACTTTAGTGAGCATGGATGAATAGCAGCGTTAAATAATTGATAAACAGCATGTTCATTACTGTCCGGACCATTGGTGATTCCCAAGCATCCTGAGTCATCACTTACAACTCCTGAATTCTACTATGTTAATTTGAAGTTGAATGGATATATTAACCATTGCTCAAAACAACATAATAATTGTTAATGAGTGGATCTGCAGAGAAGGTTATGTCATTCACTCCAACTGCAACATCAATGACATCATAGTAGATGTTCGTTGTGAGAATAGTATTGATGATCTGAATATTGAATCGTTTTTAGACTTTCGAGACATTTCAACTGACCGTATTAGTTTCGTTATACATAGAGCCAGAAGGAACATCTGTGAAAATACCACCAGTTCTGGATGAGAGCTGACGTAAGCTGTTGATCTGTAGTAGTCAATAAGTAAGGTATAGGAAGAACTACACGTACCTGATCAGGAGTACAACGAATAAAGGTTTGGTCATCCGAGAACAAGATGTTGATCTTAACTCAAGATTGTTTCGACAAAAGACAATGTGCGAGGCCTACTCTTATACGGAAACCAATAGCAGCTTGCACTAATGCGTTCAAACCGTCATCATCAGGAAGAGGTGGATGCTGTGTCAGTATGTTGATTGTAGTATCTTCCAAACCTCCTTCTGCAATGAAATGATGAGATGATCTTTGTTTGTATTGCTTCAACTCTACTTTGAATCATTTTCAATATGTATTCATACATAGGAACATAGTAGCACCAATAACTTTTTGGAAAAACAACTTCTTGGAAATTGATGTTTCCAACTGATGGAGTTTGAAACTCCATGAACTCTCCATCAGGACCATAGTCTATAAATGGAATTGTTGAAAAGTTTAAGTGAAGATGGCTTTTACCGCATGTGTTATCGTCATGATTACAATTCTGTGGGTAACTGGTGAGATCAGCTATACGATAGATGTTTACATTTTTATAATATTGACTGTTTGCTGCGACATGATTGTTAACAGCCTATTTGAATGATGTAAGCTGCTGATCGCTATGGAAATGAACCTTCTGGAAGATGCTATAAGCATTCTTTCCATAGTAATCAGAGAACAGATTGTAGTATATAAGATTCAAGCTTGGATCCTTCAACTGAAAAGTTTTAGTAGCAGGCTTCGTCTGAGTAGCTAAAAAAAGATTTATAATGCATTGAATCATCTCATAAGTGAACAATTCAAATGAACTTACCAGCTTCACAATGTAATCCAAAATATCCGCTGGGACATATACAGTACCTATTCAATGAATCTGTATATCCACCATTGGTACAGAGGATCTGTCCACATGTACTTCCTGCAACATATTACTATATGAATGAAATTGAATATATTATAATCACCTTTCCAATATGGTAGACATTCACATCCATCTGTGCCTGAGACACCTCCGTTCAAACATGAAGATGAATCAGCATGTGCTTCAATAGGGTTAATAGATAGATTCTTTAACTAATATCACATACCTAACTGAATGTATAATCCTAATAGGATTATCTTGATGAGCAACATGCTTAAATGGAAATATTAATTTGATTTATAAAAGTATATATAATAAGTATAAATAAAATATAAATTTTTTTTTCAATAAATGAGCACATTCCATCTATTCGTCAGGTAATCAGATGGTTGGGGCGTGCCTCTCTTACATAAAGCACTAAATGATAAGATGTCTGATAACACTATATTAGAATGCGTCCATATTGAATCGCATCATGTTTCTAATTCTGCTCCTGGAACAAGTAACTTCATCGCTGATAGAGCATAGCTTACAGCTTCACCCTTTTGGAGAAGCTTAACAAATGCAAACCGTTCTGTACATTGTAAAGAATAATGTTTATTATAATATTCAAAACGGGTTGATGATAAATTCAGAAAAAAAATTGTTTTCAAGCTTATAAGGCAAACGATAAAAGCCCGGTAGTCGTCCAATAGAAGCTGCCATTTCTGTAAGCGTTCTGTTGGGTATAGCATAGGGGATCTCTTGGATAGGGTTGACCAACAGGTTGTCCAATGGCAGGTCTTAAATTGGAACTATTGTAGGGAAATTTATGAGCGTCTTACGATTGTGGCATCATAGCAGCCTTCAATGGGCATCTTACTTGACTCTTATTGCGATTATGCTGAGGTTGACCAACTTCACAAGTCACTTCTTCGAGTTTGTCTGTAATGAGCGATTTGCAATGTGGTCACCTAAGATCGTCTTATGAATTTACCTGTACAAGCACCCCAGTAATTGAACATGTGAGTATCGGTAAGATCATCATCAGTAGGTGGGAACATACAAGGTATCATATACTTATTCTCCAATGCAAATGTGTTTATGAATCGATAGAGATCCCTGAAAAAGAAGAATAACTCATTATCAAGCTATCTCAAATGACTTACTTGACTGTTTCGAATGTCATGAAACCAGGTGAATCAGCTAACTTTATACGAGAACAGAATCTTCTATTATACACCGGATCTTCTAAAGCCGGTAGCAAATGTGCTGAGTAACCTTCGCATCCATAGAACCATGATGTCTCTAATGGGCATGAGGCAGCTAGATATGCATAATTTTCTTACTGAATGTTTCATTTGTGGTATATACCTGTGCATTTGCAAGCTTCTCTATCAACATTTACGCAGATTGAGAATGGGGTGATTATTTGACATTGGTAAGATCCTTGCGTATTAACACAAACCAGGCAATCTGGACCTGTGCAGTTCCCTGAGGTACAACATGGATTAACTACAGCTTCACATTCATTCACATCTGTAAATCAGAATAGAAGTTATGGTTATTGATAATGTTCTATCTACCTTCGACAGAGATTGCCAGTTGGGTTACTTCATGTCTGACAACTCTATAACCGGCAATAGCTTGCAGTACGTTATCGACACAAGTAAGAAGATGAGCATATCTGGCGAGATCAGGAGGGAAAGGATAAGCATCACTGCATTCTTCATCTAAACAGTTTGTTTTGAAGAATAAAAGCTCTTCTGATATTTAACATACAAACACATGAAGCTATAGAATCAGCAATTCTAAGATAAGCTCTTGGATCGGCACACACACAGAAATTGTCTCGACATGTCAGACCTGCTGCAGCATTGCAATTACAACCAGCAGCTGGATATAGGAAGAAACTTTGGGAATGAAATTTAAAAGCAGCTAACCAACGCAAGTTATTGTCTCAGTATTTTCACTGTAAGTGAATTCTCCGATCGCACATGTACATCCGAAGCCAACTGGTGGTGGATATCGCTCATCAGTCGAAGCATGCGGGAATGTATAATCAGGATCTTCATCAACACATAGAGGTAGGAGAGCGAAACCAGAGTAATAACCATGATCCATGAACTGAATCGCATGCAATCATTATATTCTGTAAGAAGTAATGATACTTGATTGTAGCAGAAAGCATAGCCGGAATTGTTGTTCATGGGTGCAGGCAAGATTTGATCCAAATCATCTACAAGGATTCCAGGATTTTCTTCCAACTTGAAATAATTTGAATTATGAAATAAGATGTAAAAAGCTAGAAACCGCTTGCAATGCCAGAACATAGGCTGGATCCATAGCACATTCATCTAAGTTTGTACAAGTGACATTGTGATCTGATGGATTAGGATGAGTGTTCTCATAACCTCTCTTAAACTCATTTTTGAGAATTCAATATGAAGCTGGAAAGATTTACCTTGCACTCTAGCTTGTATGATCCAGGTAGTTCTTCACAGTTAGTTGAAACAGGATCATATAGAGACACATTTTGGCATTCCAGTATATCTACAAATGAGTTGAAACGTATACTTCCAAAAAGTTCAGCTTACCTTCACAACTGTGTGGATCAGATTGACCAACTGGATACTGATAACCTGGTAGACAAACACATTTATAGTCAGCACGATCTGGTGCCATTTCACATATGGTAGTTGCATTATTACATCTATTTACTTCACTGGCGCATAAGTCAATAAGAGAGCAGTTCGTTCTTCCATCTCCTGGTAATGTTAAGAATAGTTGTATGTGACAGTATTGCTGGGTTACCCTGATATCCGTCTCTACAGGTACAATCATAAGATCCGGGAGTGTTGAAGCATTCAGCAAAACGATGACACAAATGTGATCCAACCGAACACTCGTCAATATCTGAAATTCTTTAGTAATTTACTTCTAGAGCACCGACTGAACCTTCACAGATGTTGGAATCGCCACGAGGCTGATATCCTTCTCTGCATTCACATCGGTAGCCTGGGACCATGTTGATGCAGATGTGAATACCACATAATGTCTGGTTCAAACTACATTCATCAATATCTATGAAGATAAGTATTGTAAGATAGTTGAATGAATCACAAACCAATGCAAGAGGTGAAAGGATAGGTGTTGTTTCTGAAACCTTCTCTACAATCACAATAGTAGGATCCATTGGTATTAACACAAGAAGTGGTCGTTACTTCACAGTTGTGACTAGGAACAACACACTCATCAATATCTCAAATATCTGATTCATTATGTAAAACTATCCAAGGCTCACCAGTGCATACTCCATTCAAGCCTACTTGCTGGTAGCCTGCCCTGCACACGCACTGATAACTTCCCTGTGTATTCAAACATTCCGAGTTAACATCACAGTTGTGAGTGTTCTGAGTGCATTCATTGATATCTGAACAACATAGTTTATAGATGAATAGATAACAAGCTCAACCATAGCAGTATGTTCCGTTTCCAGTATATCCAGTACTACAAACACATTCGTATTCTCCAGGTTGTTGGAGCTCTCTGCATGCAGCTAAGTTGCTACACGTTAGTCTGTACTTGTCACAAGCATTCTCCTGAGACGCTCTATGAATTGACCGAATAACTGAAAACGAATTACCCGAACACAGTTTCCAGGCAATCCTGATCCTTGATACCCTTCTCTACATTTACATTGAATTGCTGTGCTGTTAGCTACAACACTGCAGTCAGCATTGACGTCACATGATGTAGAATTGCAAGTGACATTGGCACAACTTCAGAAGGTATATATAAGCTTAACAACAAAAACAGAAGCTTACTTTGAGGTGGGACATGTACAAGCATAGAAAGGAGAAACATTGATTCTTATACAGTTACCATTCTGAAACAAAAGGACACACTCTTAACATGTTCCAGAGAGAACATACACCACAGTCGACAGAGGCACATGGGTCTCCTGGCGGTAAGCAAAGCTGAGACACATTATTCATAACATACGGTTCATTGCACACGCATCGGTATCGAAGATTTCCTGAAGATTATTCAAAATGAGAAGCAACGCAGATTTCTGACCTCTATTCACATCTGTATTGTTCGCAGCTTGGAATGGAAGACATTTGGAATGAGCTGGACAATTAGTAGAGTCACATCCCTTTATAGAACAGGCTTGGTTGTTATCTACCCACTTCAAACAGTAGAGTGTAAGAATGTCAAAGTTAATTCAACGATTACCTCATAGTTGTTGATACAAACACAGGATTGAGTTCCGTTCCTATGAGTTATGCATTGTGAGAACTCAGGACATGTGAGCGTGCATTTTGTTGACGAAGAGCATACCTGTAGGAGATATTATAAAACTGGGTTAGCACACTTACTTCATTGATTCGTTCATATCCAGTTGAGCAGTTACAGTGGAAGCCGGGAACAGTATTGATGCAATCTTCAGTTAACGGGTTGCATGAGTGAATTCCCATGTAGCATTCGTTCATATCTGAGAAAACTATCCGTTTTTTGTTTTCATAGGCTACTTACCAACGCAACGGGTAGAATTATATGGATCAGGTTGGTAACCATTCAAACACTCACATGTGAAGAACGGGCTTTGATAAGTCATCTAGAACAGATAGTTTGAAAAATTAAGACATAAGTTCAATGATCTTACTCTGCAAGTGGTAGTTTCTCGATCACAATTATCTCGCTCAGCAGCACACAGATCAACAGCTGAAAAGGATACGTGCTACGTTCAGAAGATTACAACACATACAGACGCATTGTTGTGGAGAAGAGTTTGTATAACCCGTGAGACAAACACATTCCCATGATCCGTTAGTATTCCTACATGTTCCAACTGATGAGGGACATGTTGCAGTGTGAAGACCACGAGCACATTCGTCAATATCTAAACAATGATTGATATATACTTCAATCAGCGGAATTTCTATATCATACCAACACATGAGTTACTAGATCGTTGATATTCATATCCTGCTGGACATGTACAATCATAACTTCCTTGAGTGTTTCTACACTGCAATGATTCATCAGGACAAGGACATACTGTGTTCCGGGTGCACTCAGCGCATTCATCAATATCTACAAGTGAGAGTGAACGATGGCAGATTATAAGATTCATATACCTTCACATGTGAAGTTATTTTGATTGAAACGATATCCTGGAGTAGTACACTCACATGTGACCCATCTGTCGCCTATTGACTGTTCTAGTTGCTTACAAATTGAGTTCACGGGACAGGGATTTGGAGTACATTTGTCATCCACTGTAGAA